AACAACATTTTTTCTACAAACTTCGAAAAATATAGATCCAAAGTAGAAATATGCTTAGTTTGATATAAAAAATGGTCTTGAACTGGCTTGAAAGGCCTCCCCCTATCCTCCCTAGGTACGCACGATGTTTCACGAACATAATAGGATTTTCCTTTCGTGCGCTCCAAGAGATAGAACAAAGTTATTGTTGAACATTCAGAAATAAATGAGTTCGTGGATGTTTGCTCGATTGAGGACCATGAAGTTGAAATATAAATATCTCATATATTTTAAATTACAATGCGCGAAGTAGGTACTTCGCGCACTGTTTTACTTCGCGCATTGTTTTGTGCTAGGTATCATGGTAACGTAGGAAACTGAAAAAAAGTGTCACTTCGCAATTTGTTATCAATGCGCGAACCTTGTCATTTTTTGACGTTAGTAGAAAATAGTTATTTTTGTATCTAGAGCGCGAAATGCTACTTTGGTGATCGAGATCTGATTTTTTTAACGAGGCGTAGCCGAGTTGAAAAAATAGTCGAGATGACCAAAGTATTTCGCGCTCGAGTTGCAAACAACATTTTTTCTACAAACCTCAAAAAATATTGTTGTAAAGTGGAGATATGCTCAGCTTGATGTAAACAATAGTGTTGAGCAAGCTTTGATGGCCTCCCCCTATCCTCCCTAGGTACGCACGAACATAATAGGAATTTCCTTTCGTGCGCTCCAAGAGATAAAACGAAGTTATTTATTGAACATTCAGTAATAAATGATTTCGTGGATGTTTGCTCGATTGTTGAAATTGTTAAGTTGAAATATAAATATCTCATATATTTTACATAACAGTGCGCGAAGTAGGTACTTCGCGCACTGTTTTACTTCGCGCATTGTTTTGTGCAAGGTATCATTGTAACGTAGGAAACTGAAAAAAAGTGTCACTTCGCAATTTGTCATCAATGTGCGAACCTTGTCATTTTTTGACGTTTGTAGAAAAAGTAATTTTTTTCAATCAGCTAACATTTTGTAAACATAATTTTTGGATTTCGTAGTTTTGTGGATTGGTAATTTTGGGTGACCACTATGTCGTGTGTTGTAAGCATGCGAAGAAGCATTGGTACCTATCGAAGGATTTCAAGTTTCTTCTGATATATTTCAAACATTTCAAATTATAGATGGATGGGGCATTCAACAATTTCTCTTCTATAAATATTGGTTTGCAACTATCTCAGTAGTCCATATCAAAGTTTAATCTCACGATACGTTTTTGGCCTATAAAAACTCTAATAAAATCTCTACATTGTGTTGAAAGCAATGTGTGAGTATACCATAAATGCTTAATGAACACTTCTTGGCTACACATGTTTTCATCTGCTTAATTGCGAAGAATGCTGAATTCAGTTTCTTGCATGCATGATTGATATGTAGATCCCAGTCTAACCTCTCATCTAGAAATGTTCCTCAGAATTTCACGTCTTGCAACATGACTAATTCATCTACAACGTTTTTTCCACCAGGGATATTTTCCTTCCTATATTATAACATTTCATTGAAACTGACTCAGTTGTATTCAAAATCTGTTGATTTCTGTCACACCATGATGTGAATGAATCAATGATTCAATATATCGATATATCTATACATAAATATACCGATACGATACCAAATCACACACCGATATCTACATCAAATTTTCAATATCGCACAGCCCTAATTTGAATACACTAGACTTTCCATGTGTCTCCTGAGATAATAGTCAAGAGGTGTTGGGCATCAGGAAACCTCGTGTTGGACCACCTGTTAATTTCTCATGACACCTTAACTTTTGAGTTTTAGACAAAAGTGTATGAGGCACTTTCGACTCGAAATTGTTAGAATCACGTATAAGCCGTGCATAAGTTCGGTAGACTGCATGCTAATATATGATGTTCGGGTGGCGGAAATTTGATCAAAGACAAATGATAGAAAAACATTTGATAGAAGTCTTTTGATCGAAAATCAAAAAATAGAAGATTTTTTCACAGAAAATACAATTGATCGAATGTTTTATGATAGAAAATACATTTGATAGAAACATAAATGATAGAAAATACAATTGATAGAAAATACTATTGATAGAAAAAATATTTGATAGAAGATAGGTACACTCGATAGAAACAGCATTTGATAGAAAATTCAACGGGGCTACGCTCAAGTTAGGTCAGTTCGTTTGTGAAGATATGATCCTTCCTCATATATTTGAGAAGAAGGAGCTACAAGTTTGTGGTATCAATAAATTCATAAGCTTCGATTTCCATATAGCTCCTTCTTCTCAAATATATGAAGAAGGATCATATCTTCACAAACGTACTGACCTAACTTGAGCGTAGCTTCGTTGAATTGTCTATCAAATGCTGATTTAACCCTCAACTGGTACCTATAGTGGGGTGTTCCGGTACCATACTAGTGATAATTTCGCGATAATAATGGACTTGCAATTGACTTAGGGTGATTTGTTATTTCAGGTATTCTCCTAAGTTCGTGATATCTATAGGATATCGTAGTGAAGTTTTTTGCAAAAATCAAACAGTTACGAGAATATATGGACATATCGAAAAGGAGTCGATTCAAATTTTTTGAAAAAATGTTCTTACTGAATATCCCTCGACTATAGAAAAATTCTCATAAATTGTCCTCAAGCGAGTTGCCGTCGGGCTGTTACGGAGCAACTCGCTTTCGAAAGTATGCAACAAATTATTTCGAAATTATCAATAGCCTTGGGATATTATAAGTGATAAAGGAAAATTATTTATGATATCGGATCTAATCTATTCGTGTTTTTTCCCTCTCTGCCTACCAATGATTGTACCTTTACCTTGGATTGTGATAGAAGCAATGATTGTAGTGATTGTACCATCTAAGTATAGTAAGTAGTGGCTTAGATTCACCATAGATTAAACGAACGAAGATAAACGAACCAATGGTTTCAATGAAAAACGTCTAGAAACAGGACGCATCAAATATTGAGAGTCAGCGTCATCGTCACCGCACGTAACACATTAAAATATTATTAGTGACTCTAATTTTTATATTTGATTTTTTGTATTTCTCTACAGTCCGAAATAGGATATATTATAATAAGCATAAATATTTGTAATTTTGATCCGATTCTATTCTAAATTGGTATATGGGGGATTTCGGGGTAGGAGATAATGATTTCTTCGTGAGAATTAGGATATTCAAGATGGCGGATCAAATATAGCGGACGATTCTGTTTAAAATTGGTATCTGATGGTTTTCGGGGTCGGAGATAAGGATTGTTTCGTCAAAATTCGGAAATTCATGATGGCAGATCCGCACACACGTTTTGTAATTATGATCCGATTCTATTCAAAATTTGTATCTCATCAGCTAGTAAATCCATATATGAAGCGCTACTGGCATCTGCGCTCTTTCTAGCTCTAGACAGAATCCTCATATAATTTACAAAGTACAGTCGTCTTCTGAAAACCTGTCGCACATGGACGGTGTCAGCTCTCTTAATCACCGCTGGTATGAGCGCTCATATACCTTCCAACCGCGACATGTTCACTGAAGACGAGTTTACAAGCACGTGCATGTTTTTATATAGCCTGTTATACACTTCTCCAAGAAATTAAAGCACCAACAAAAAGTACCAAAAGTTCAGGAAACATTTTCGTCAAAACTACTCGTTCGATTTGGACGTTTTTTCTTTTCAATGATAGCTTATTTCCTTCTGAACATTGGTGTGGAAAGTATATTGACATAAAAACCTCTTTTTTATATATACCGGCTGTAGCAATTATATACAGCGTATTTTTATTCATGAAATTTTTGTTAAACCCTGTAGAGTGTAATAGTTACACTACCGAGTTAGAATTGAAATAACACTTCAACCTTATCTTTTTTCAACATGTATTTTCAGGATTCACTCCATTATCTTTCAAATTACTCGAGAAACACTATTTTATAGATACCATGATTTTATGGAAAATTAATATCCAAATTGAATTACGAAAGGGTCAGTAGCGAGTATATTTCCGCCTTGGGCACGAGAAACTTCTTGGCAAAGACGGCCTATACCCAAAATAAGAGACCTAATGTCATATTGATCCAGGTTTCTCAAATTTGAATCATCAGTCTCTGCCGTGTGTTTTCCAGAGTCTTCAAGTTACGTTCTCCTCATAATTTTGTCCCAAGAATGTCCCAGTGATTCTCAATGGGATTTAAATCCGGGCTCCGAACTGGCCATGTCATAGTTCCTCTAGATAATATCTCACAACTCGGGCGTCGTGAGGCCTGGGCATCAACAAAAACCCTCACACTATAATACATGCTTTCAATATCACCGATATGTACCTTTTAGCTGTGAGGCTTCCATTTTATGATCACAAGTTCCATGCGACCAGTCAAATAAATGCTTTCCCGCTTTCCCACACCATAGCCTGCTACTTTCGTGCTCATGAGGCCAATTGATTCAAATAAAATCATGTTATGCTATAAAATTGTGTATCTGCAGGAGAAATATGGAAGATAATGGAGTGAAAAAGAGGAATGTTGAAAAAGGTTATGAGGCTAAAGTGTACTTTCAAGTTCAACTTGATAACGTAACTGTTACATTCCACAGGGTATTACAAATTTCATGAAAAAAACGCTTTAATTGCTACACCAGGTATTCATGAAAAATAGGTTCTTATGTCCCCAGAGACTGCCCCCGCACTTTTTTCTCATTTTTTTTTTTTAGTCTGTTGTCTCAAGTAATTTTCCGAAAAATATACTTTATAGAAAGAAGGTTAATTTAGGCGGTGATGGCAGAGATTGGATATAAATTGTTTCCTTTGTTCAATCTCCAGTAATTCTCAGAGAAATATGCTTTTCATTCAAACTGAGGCAGGTTAGATGTGGTTAGATGGTTTAAAAAAAGTAATCTAGAAAATAATTGCAATATTTGTTGCGTCCTGTCTCTAGACGTTGAGACTGCGGGATTCTAAGTAATCTTTTATCTAAATTCATTCTGAACAATAAATCCACAAAACTGTTTCGAGAAAACGAATAGATGCTTTCTCTGCCTTATAGTGTTTGATTCACATTCGAATAGATTCGATGATTTTATATTAATATTATATTTAAACGGCTACACACTCATATACAATCATACAATGTGTTTCAGATCAAGTGGCGGGATGATCCCAACCACCGTGTGTGATAAGTGTAGTGCAGCGATCAATGCGATCATATACTATTTACGATACTGTACGTGTGCAAGAGTCTTCTCTATGTCACCAGTGAGTCACCAAATGGCACGAATTCAATACCACCCGAAATGGTCCACCGTGCCATGAGGATGCGATGCAATAAATAATCCTTACTCGTCGTACTTTTTTCTTTTTTCGAAGTGATTAATTAAAAAAAGTACTGCGGAGGCATTTACTGTTGGGGCCAATAGTGATTCGCGATTTCAATCTAAATCTAAATCTTTCGAACCATTCCAATCACGTGATATGTGGAGATTCGTGTTTTGTATGCTTATTTTTCGGAATGAAATTGTGGAGGCTGAGTTTGGTCAGGGAGTTTTATTCTGGTCCATTAATAGCATGGCGTCAGCCCACTGTGATGATTTGTGTAGTGATTCAGGCTTTCAAGGAGTGAATGCGCATGCATACATATTGATATTGTATCACGTGATCCACTGTGACCAATCTGACAATGAGGGTTGGGAATGGTTCGAAAACTTTAGGCACTCGTAAGCTCTCGGCCGGAAATTCTGTGTATTGCTTCCTCATGGATTATTTGTTGTTGTTCCGCCCTGTCTCTTTTGCGTCCTGACTCTAGATTGAGCAATTCAGGAGGAATTGAATCGTGTCACGTGAGGTTTCATTTTCTTGTTCTATGCCTTTTGACAAAACTGTTTTCTGTGGCTGATAAGGTAATAAGTGATAACTGTCACTGTCACTAGTCAGGAGACTGTCTTGACTCACAACCACAACGTCCACAACACAACTCATAGTAAGCTCTCTCTCTACTGTGATGACATTAATCATTAATGACTCATAACAACAAGTTAGTTGAGGTTAGATATTTTCGTTTTTTTTATACAGCATAATGTAAATTCATGTGTCAACAATAAACAACTTTTTTTCAGTCAGTAATGGATCTGCACACCAAGCAGAGACAATTTTCTGGGCAATTGTATAAATACACCAATGTCATGAAGGGCTGGCAGTACAGGTATTTCCTTGTTGATGCGAATGCTGGGTTACTGCATTATTACCTTTATGAAGGTGAAAAGCCTGACAAAACTGTGCCTAGAGGATCCGTTCATCTGGCTGGAGCAGTGATTTGCCCAAGTGAAGAAGATTCAAAGACCTTCACAGTCAACTGTGCCTCTGGTGATATGCTGAAGTTGAGGGCAGCTGATGCTAGGGCTAGACAGGAATGGGTGAATGGACTGAGAGCTGTAGCAGAATCACACACAAAGGTACTGATTCAATCTGCTGAATTATCAAAAATAAATGCTGTAATAAAAGCTTATTGCTTGAAGCTTATTCATTCCAATGTTGTTTGATTTTTGTGAATTAATGAATTCTCTGTACTTGACATTGACATGAGCTTAAAAAATTGTATGGAAGATTATCAAATCTTTCAAGTGATCCAATAGTTGATCATCATACCAATAGGGCTTTATATTATTATCATGGTTATTGTAAGCTATCTCCAGTTATTATGATTGATTATTATTCTTATTTATTGCTCAAGATTCAAGAATGAAGACAAAAATACCCTATATCAGTATTATTCCTAATAGCTAACATAGGAAATGTTCTTAATTTTGTTGATTACTTTTATGCTGATATTAAGTCTGGTAATATGCAGATAATGGAAGCTCATCTAGATGCTGGGAGCTTTAAGCTTATCTCATGCTGATATTTTTGGTTGGTTCTTGTGAGAGGTCAACAACTCTATATGATGAGAGGTTTAAAGTTGTAATATCTGGGCTGCAAAGTGCTCAAACTGAGTAACTATGTATTAAGGTAAGCTGTAAGACCTTTTACAGCAGCCTTTGGTCACAGAGAGATTCAATGGGAGAAAATGATATAAAAATAATTAGGGATATTTGACAATTTGAGGATATAGGTAGATAGCAGACAAAAAAGAAGAGTAGAGGAAGAACTACCAATAACTGGTGATCTTTTTATCAAAAAGACTTATTGCTTACATAGCCTCACCTCACAAACACAAAAAAATGAGGATTTACATAAAACACAAATAATATGAATTTGGTTGTGTCTCATGCATGTATTCTTTTAGGTGGTCCAATTTATTATTTTTTGTAGGCAATTAGCTCCACAAGCCCCCCCTTACCACCAAGGGAACACCTAGCAGTCCTGGATGCCCTGAGTTGTGTCCGTTCCCAACTCCAACAAACAGAACAAGCAGATTCTGCTCTATGCAGAACCATAGAATCATCAGGAACAAATTTTTCTATTGACCCAGACATGCTATTGCTGAAAGCTACTTCAGCAGCATCCCTACACTGCCTCACACAGTGCATGAACATTCTGCAAAGAAACCAACACACCCAGCAGTCAAGAACAGGGTTTGTTATAGATGATGAATAATATATTATGGTTAAGGGGTGCATTGAGATGTTTTGGAGGTTGATTAGGGTCGATAGGTGTTTCAAATGAAAAAGTGGATTTGGGTTTGGTGTTTCTCAAATTTTCAATTATTGGGTATACTGATTTTTCAGGAGACCTTGTCTATGGCATGACAAATTCACTATGTTCAGTGATATGACAATTTTAATACCTACTTGTGAACACATTTTGAATTGGGTATTGTGATTTTTCCCAAGTACATGTCTATGGGGTGACAAAATCACTATATTCAGTGATATGACAATGCTAGTACCTACTATTGCACACATTACATTCCACTAATCAAAACTTTGCTACTTGAACTGAATCCAACTGAATAACTTTAAGGATTTTTTTTTCCTATCCTGGACTGGCAGATAATGTTCTCTCAAAGTGGATATGACTGATGGCATGTGAAGGTTATCTTTTCAATAATGAATTGGGGAGATAAACCTATAATAATTAACAATTATTATAGTATCATGGTTATATGATTGATGAAATAAACGTCAACTATTCATATTGAATGAAAATATTAAACATATATAAAGTTGGATACTATAAAAGTCATTAGTTTGGACAGTAGATGAAACCACAAAACAAATTCTTCAGAAGTACTTTTATCATAACAGGAAATTCTGAAGTTGTGTATTGAACTACCAAGCGATTTTGTTTTCGGAAATCTGGTGAATTTGACTGAAAAAACGTCAGTGGTTCCCATATTTTTGGAAGCATACCTACATCTTGAATTATGGAATAAGGAATAAAACTAGCATATGGAATGAAATTTGGGAGCTCTGTGATTGTATTGTTTTCTAGTATTTTGCACATGGTTGTTGGAAAAGTGGACCAGTTTGAAATTGTAACATAAACTGAATATTTTTGTGGAAGAAAAAAATTTAGGTAATGGACACTAAACGAAAATCATATCAGGTTCTAATATGTCCAAGGTATCAATGTTATTTAATAGCAATTCTTAGTGTGGAATAAGAAGTAGAATAATAAAATGTAAATTGATGTCAATATTTCCACTAGGGTCAAGTTTATAAGTATAAAATCAATGTTTGGAGTTATATGCTTTTGCAATCATTTCACTCAACTGTCTTTTGTACTTCACTAACTTCAGAAACACAAATTTCAGAAAACATATTATTCCCTAGTATCATCATTAATATATCAGTAGCAGTTTGAAATCAGGTATAGTAGGTAATCAACTTACTGTACATAATTGTTCAGAAATTATTTTAAAAATTTCAGGTGTATGTGAAATAATTATTCATTGTTGAATGAATTGATAGATTCGGCAATAATAAGAAAACTGATTAATCTCTACTAAAAATTTTGTTTCATATTGAATTCTGTTGCTTCTCCTTTCTCTAGCAGTTATTTGTGTGCCTATATTCTTTTTATTGGCCATTTAATTTTTATTTACAGCATATATTATTGTAGATTAATAGAAGCATGTAGAAGCATCTTCAAACTTCACTTCAAGTGGTTTTGATTTTAACATATATGGACTTGAGAAAATCAATCACAAATTTTATCATATCTGAGTTTTTTTTTAACAGGAAATATATCTTACCAAGATAAGTTGTTCGCCAAAAAATTGTTCTTATACAATATTTAAGATAAGGGAGGTACAAGTATTTAATGGTTTAAAGAATTTAGAAGACTCCAAATATGAAACGTATTGTTTACATTTTCTCAAAAAAAAAAACGCAAAAAAGCCGTTATTAGTCCAGCATTAGATACCCACCCTACAGTTGCATTATTTCATCAGAAACACTAATCAAAAACCTCTTTTCACATTTTCAACCTAAAAATTATCCTTTTAAAGAAAACCATAAAACTTTAGGAGGAAAATGAAGCCAAACAACTTATTTTGGCGAGATATATACCCTGTTAAATAAAAAACCTCACTTTCAGATTCACCCTGTATACAGGGTGTCCCAGAATATCGTTCGTATACTCCGGTAGGTGATTCTGCTGATAAAAATAGGAAAAAAAATCCTTAAATGCAGTTTTCCTCAATTATCTTCGTTTTCATTGATCCCGGGATCACGAAATTAAGTACGCGAAGGGTACAAATCGTTTCATGGTACGGACATAGATTATTTCATATACAGGGAAATGCGAAAATCGTAACCGATGTTATAAAAATGCCCCAATTTGATTCTTTAAAACCTTACATGAAAAAAAGGCATTCTTGCTAGAATGTCCTATAAAGAACTGTTTTTTGAGAAAAGGGTCATTTTTCATTTTGACGTCAAAAAAAAATCACCATACGTGCGAAATTGAGTCAATTTTCATTGTGGATATATCCTTAACAAATTCAACACCAGGATTAACTCTAATAAAACGAATCTAATGGAAATCTAAATTTTCAATTATCAAGTTCAAGTTTTTTCATCAGAAGAACATACGCTCAAAATCGTAAATTTTAAGGACAATCAAAGTGAAAAATGACACTTTTCTCTAAAACTTCCATAGCATTCTAACAAGAATACCTTCTTCTTGTGAAAGTGTTATATTAGTTATTCCAGTAGTAGGATCGGTTACGAGTTCGCACCTCCCTGTATATTGAATCATGTTTTCCGTACCACGAAATGTTTTGTAAGATCGAATCATCCGCGGGTACGCTGCGGGTACCAAATTTCGGGATTCTAGGATAAATGACAACAAAGATATGAAGAAAAGTGCATTTTCGGGCACAATTTTTTCTTATTGTTTTTGCAGAATGACCTCCTAATACACGTTATTCTGGGACACCCGTATGCACATGAACCGCTTCACAGATGAGAACAGTACAAGTACCTACAATGTTCATCAGGTCATCTTCATTGCTTCAAATCATTTTCATTTATATTCCACGATCTACTCAGTGTTGAAATGATCATGTATGCTTTTGCTAATTGCTTGTTATTTGTTAGGAAAATGTATCAGATATTGTCGAATTTCCCCGGAAAGAAAGTGAGAAAAATGAAATTTAAGAAATGGAATAGTTTGTGATTGCCCTGACAGCAGAATGGTAGCAGCTTAAAGAGTGAGAAACTCTATTGAGAAGACTACATTTACTCTTTTATTTATTGTATATACCATGTAAATAAATATTTATAGAAATTATAGTGAATAATTTATTCCAGAGCTCTCATCTCAAGAGGGCATCCCTCTATTAGTAGTTTATTGTCTTTTTATGTATTGACTATACCTCATAGCAATAAAGAAATTTCTTTATTGCTCTTAGGGCTATAAATATACAGCAATTAGTTCTTGTTTTGTTAAATATTCCACAAGGTTTCCCTCTCTAAATGGTCATGTATGTGTATAGCTCTCATCCCTCAATTTTTGTCAAAGGAATAAGGAAAATAATTATTTTCTACAGCTATAACACAAAATTGCTCATGTTTTACTGTTTTGGATAAATCATTGTAGGTACGTAAAAATTGTAAAATTTCATTCCCTTGTCTGATAACAATAATGACTTCATTGTGTTTTATTCCACAATAAATGTCACCTCCCATTGAATGTTAAATCTCACGTTAAATCTCAAGCAATGACAGCTCTGTCAGATGGATACAAGCTGTTATTTGTTACAAACCAGTAGAAAAAGTATAATGTATTACTTGCAGGGAATGCTAATTTCCCACTCATATGATTCGCCTATGGCTCATGTATATTTCATTCTCAAGGGAAATTACTTTCATTCCCTAGTTCAAGTAGGAACTATAGGAATTAACATTTTGGGATTCCGGCAAAAAGTAATTATCTCAAAATTCATACCAAGAAAAGAAGTTAGTACATACAGTATTATTTTAGTCCATGAACAGAATATGAATAGGTTTTCTGATTATTAATCATACACATTTTAAACCACAAAACTGCCACACTTGTCACTAGCTCAGTTAAAAAGTTGATTGTAATAAAGATACAGGATCTAGTCTCAAAAATTCCAAAGACACTCACAATACCTACTGACTAATTGAGGTCTTTTCTATCTTGAACTTGAAATGCTTAGAGCATTTTGTCTGCTAAATATTGGCTAAATATGGAGGAAAAATCTAGTGAGCTGGATCCTTAGATCATACAGGATGATGATGATCTAAGGCTGGATCTTCCTCAGTTGTCAGTTGAGTGTATGAATGACCACTAGAGGATAGAGGATGTTACCGTATCGTACGAAATGATCTTTTTCTAGAAAATGTTCAAAAGTGGTTATTTAAGTTGTCACTACTTCACTAGTGTCAAGAGCTGTCATGCCATCGTAACTTGTTTTGTATTTTTTCTAAAATATCATTCTCATTGTTCTAATATTCCTTAATTCGTTTATAGATATAGTTTTGTGTTGTGCTCCCAGAATTATAGTAGTTTATTCTGATTATCAATGTGTAACAAACTCTGTCTCCTCTTATTGTGCCTACCAGAAATTGTGAAACCATCTACATTCATCCAAGTGATATTTCTTTGCGACATAAGTGGATTCATTCGATATTGAGTGTTACAGGATCATTACAAGTGAGAGAATCAGAGCCTTTATCAAATGCTAATAATCGATATACTACTGATTTTACCTCTCATGGGACAAACGATTCCATCCGGTTCAAGAATAGGTGTCATGACAAATCTTATCATTTCCTATGAGAACTGAAAGCATTGGATCATTCTCCTATAGGATATCTGATTCCTACAGATTCGAGAATCGGGCCCCAGAGCTGTAAGGGTCACTATGCCAGTAAAGAGAAGAAAGTTCTCTCCTCTTCCATCTTTCTCTTCAATGATACCAATGTAGCCCCATAGAAATATAATTCGAAATTTTATTTAATAAATTCCAAAGGTTATCAGTCAATAACATTTATAACATAGACATGTCACATCATTATAACATCGAAAATACTTCACACTTCAGTGGCCCAGAGTAGACATTAGGCAAGGAAAACTTTATGACTTTATCGGATCTCTCTATATTTCAATGCAGCCACCTCCATAGCACTGAAGAGAGAGATGGAAGAGGAGAGAACTTTCCTCTCTCTCTCGTTTGAGTTAGAAATTGCATTCATTGATCTCATGGAAGCCTACTTTGAAGAATACCACAACACAGTAAACAATCACTCAATAACAACATCAACAAAGAACACCTTTCTTTCATAAAAATTATGAGAAAATCTATTTTTTATAAAAGCAAATACACTATATAAGGAACAAAAAAGTTGCATCTGTTTTTTAGTACTCAGAGTGCTGCAGAGAGCAACCTCTACACATAAAATTTCTAAAAAAATGGTAATAAAAAATTCAATGTGAAAATATTGGTTTCCGAGAAGTAAGTTGATAACTCAAATATCCTAATCAAATTGAACAAAAAAAAAAAATGTTTTTTATGACAAAACTTTATTCAAATTTCCACCTGTTTTTCACACTTTCACTTCAATCAAATTAATGCTGACAAATTGATCAGCAATCAATAAAAATCAATCAAACAGAATACCAACTAACCAATTGTTTGTTTAAATTTTTTGGCTAATGATATTATTCTTGATTCAAGAACAATGATAATCAAATTGAACAAACAATCTCACATGACATTTCCACTTGATAAAGTTCACACTTTCACAGTACCCTAATAATTGATGGTGACAAATTAATAAGCATTCATGATTGATGGAAGAATAATTATTCCTGTCTTATTTTTTGGCAAATGAAATCTTCATAGCATGTGTAGGAGTGATCTTGAAACCTTGGAGAGCATCTTTAGCTGCCCCTGATTGCATTTCATTCTCAAATTCCACAAAAGCAATGTCATGTCTGTTTGGAACTAGCCTCACCTCTTTGAAACCTGGGAATCTATAAAACACAAAAAAAATGTCAGGTCAACATTTTCCAGAAAAAAATTCAAACTTTTACTTCAAATAACATAATTTTGAATATTTCAACTGATTTCAATCATGAAATAGAAGTTGATGAATATTAGTTAGGAATCAATTTCTACTTACTGGTTGAACAGCATAGACAACATCATTTCACTTGTCTCATCAGGCAAATTTGTGAGGAACAGAATCTGGTTGGGTGGTTGCTCAGCATTTGCTCCACCTGGAACTCTGTTGGGGTCCTTGTTCTTCTTCTTCTTTCGTGGTAAGTCTTCAGTACTTGAAGGCTGCAACCTAACCTTCTTAGGTCTCTCTTGGAAGGTACCCTTCAACTTTGAAATTATGTCCGAATCCTGTTTAGCATACTGGATGCGCTGTAAAGACATAAAAATGTGCCTTGTGCAATGCACATCATTGGTATCTAATTATATAGTCATAACCTATGTAATCAGAAATTGTGGAAATCTAGAGAGCCTCAAACTCAAGAAATGCCATACAGCTTCTTTAATCAGCAGTGCCTACAATAGGTTCAACTCAACCAATGATGAGCTGCACATCACTCAATGTACCATTACCAAATAGAAATGCTGTGTTGTTAACTTTTAGAAAATAGAATAGACTTACCATTGGTTTATCATAAAATGGAAAACCCTGCATGGACCTCAAAGCATTAGTGGAGCTTTGGATTTCCTTGAAAATTACAAAGGCTTGGCCACGCATCTTTAGCGTTTTCATAGCGACTATATCAATGATTTGGCCGAATTGGGAAAATATGGCGTATATAGACTTCTTGAGTTCTTCTTTCTTCACTTTCTCGTTGAGATTGTTGATATAGATTGTGTTATTTGGGCGAATATCCATCTGTAATGGGGTTTGATGTTTTATGAAATAAGAATGTTCATTTTTATCAATTTACTTACTTTGCCAAATTACGAATAGGTATGATTTAAAACTAATCAACACGCTTACAAAAGAGAAATGGCGACGCCGACGAAAAATGAAAACTGCGAAACACGAAAACGGAAAACGATAACCTCAATATTTCTGGTGAACTACTTCAACTCTTCAGCTCAAGACTAATTTTTCTTCTTCTTTTTTATTTTCGATAATGTGATCAATGACTGCTAAATATCTAGACTGTCTAACGTGTTATACCCCGTCAGACAGTCCAGATATTTGGTCTTTTGTAGATCTGAGGCCGTCATTATGTGATTGTACTGATCTTAGATCTACCACAGTTTATTGCTTAATAAACTGTGGATCTACTATCTGGACCGCTAATGCCATAAAGCATAAAAGTCACGAAATCGAAGTGGAGATCATGAATCATGTGCATTTAGGACCTTGACTTATATTTTCTATTACGAACATACATGATTCATGAATCAATCATTCCAGAATTACATCATTTGACAGGTTGCTGGGGGGGGCAAACATATGGAGCAAACTCTGTACTGTCAGTTTAATTCAGGATATAGCCATAGGTGAGCCACTTAGGAGATCGAACTGGTGTCTTAATGCGCATTTATGATCTGCTGTCATTTTACACTCATGAATCCGATGAACATAGGCGTATCGAAGTAAATAGTTGGGAGGGGTCCATCAGTGATGATTCTTGTATTTATATCTAACTAATATACCATCTAGTGATTCTAGGGTCTACTATGAAAGGTTCATTATAACCATACATGGAGTATTGAGAAACGAATTAAATAAAGCCGTATTCAGGTCTCATAGCCTCCAAATACTCAGATTTGAGAACTTCATTTAAAAAAAAACGGTGAGTTTGCATGTCCTGATGGATTGGCCTGGAAACATCATCAGAAAAACTGCCTGGAGTTGAATGTTTCTGAACATAATATATTATCCTTCCTGAGTGGCTAAGGTCTAAAGGTCTCCTAGCTAATTGCCTCAAATCATTCATTTCTCAGTTGCTGGTGAATTTCAGGCGATAACATCGAGACGGTCCTGAAATATCATTCATCAAAGTTTCGCCCCGAATTCAAATAATGCCCTGTATTCCTGTTACGAATTGGCAAAATATAGTTTGTCACATATTTATCGACTAACGCCTTTACTTCCTCTATCTGCCATTAGGCTATAGCTGGTTAATCATGACTCACCCTGTATAACTACAGTGAATGATTTTGAAAAGAGGAGAAAATGCAAAGATAGAATAAATTAAACATTTCATAATATATTTTCAATAAATAACACAATGTGTAATTATTACACGTTTCTAGAACGTGGTGCAAGATGGTGCCGAGGCCTGTTGAGCCTCTTCCGTTCCGCAGAACGGTTATTCATTTTCTCGATTATCCTGTTCAACTGGGCTGTTGCATTCCTCATCGAATTCTCATATATTGGCCTGATGCTTTCTATTGCTGGTACGCGATTGAGACGGGTCATTTGGTTGACGAACTCGGTCGACATTTTTGGATACCTTGTGCGGTGCGGGTCATCCATGTCCACGTAATATAAACCAAAGTGTAATCTGAAACATGCAAATACTGTCAACGGGACGCGCCGCGTAGCCTTCCATATGGGCAAGGTCGTGCGGCGCACGACGGCGCCAAAGCCTTTGTAAAGGCGCCTGCGGTCGTTTAACATGACTATTCCACTCTTGATCTCGAGAACCAATCAGAATCGACCATTTTCATGGTTTCTTCTGTATTCTAGCGATATTTTTTGTTTATTAAATTTTATCGGACTTGCTCTACCAATACAGAAACCGAATTGACCCACACGTGACCAACTAACCTCGTTTATCAGCAATAAAATTTTGACATCGTGTCTGGTCAAGATTGCTTTGGATTCAAATCTGAGACAATAACCTAAGTTCCTACTTTATTTTATTTACTAATAATTCGCGTTAGTGAGATATTTTGTACGAAAGGCGAGACAATTTTATTCTGGCTGGACGTTTCATGTGTAATTTAAAAAGTTTGCATATTTGTTGACAGTCTGACACAACAATAATAGAATTCAAATTCCTTTTTGAAGTAATCTTCTTCAATTACTTAAGTTATTGTGACTGACTGATATAATTATACTAGCTGATGTGGCCCAACTGTTAGGGTTGTTGCGCGAGGATACGAAGGTCGATAGATCGAGCCCTAGGCGACGAAACTTTTTTTTTTATTATTCCATGTCACATAAATTCAATTTATTTTGTTAGAATTGGATAGTAATTGTATACACTCTTTTGAGAGCAACCATCTCCAAGATAATGAAAAAAATACTGTTCATCAAAATTGTACACTCCACTTTGTGAATAACTGTAAGTAGGTAGTTAATTTCTAAAAAAGTAAATTCTGTATTTCATTACTATCATTATGTTCTTCTTCGCAGTTCGAGTTGGAATATACTTGAATTATGTTTCCTATTTCTTATATATATTGTCTCATTCAATCATGAAATAGTCATACGAATACAACTTGTGAAACTATTTTTCCTGGAAATATTCGTCGATTGACATACTCCAGCTTGCTGCTCTAATTTCGCTCATGACATTGATCCAAAACTACTCGCCTACGGCTCGTGTAGTTTTGATAACAATGTCATTCACGAAATTACTAGGCAACAAGCTGTCGTAACAATCACCGAATATTTCCGGCAAAATATTATCACTTGTGGTATTATATATGACAAAATTATCATACCGGTGGTGAAAATGCATTAACCACGAATAGTGAAGCTGGAAAATGCCAATTTTTTCAAGACTTCTCAATCATATATCATGATCAGGTAATATGACGTTCAAAAATATCGCCATTTTGTTTCTTTATTTTTTTCAAATATTATGAATTACTGTTTTGTAACTTTGATGATGTTTTTGTTTTCTGGTTACTATTTCATATTCTATTCAGTTATTTATACATCAATTGAGGTACTAAAGAATATTATTTCCTAATGGCGAATTCACTCGCAGGCTTGAGCGGCAGATTTTAGAAGGCGGTAAATTTGGCCCAAAAATGTTTGCCTTACATAGGGAAAGCGAGTCTTGAAAATTCTACGAAAATCTCCATATTTTAGTAGTACGACAAAGTATACTGAACACTCTATAAAGTCTGTCTATGAAAAATTATTGAACCCTCTACAAAATAATATACTTTTGTGAATTTTCCAAATATTCAATTCAAATTAATCAATTTCCACTTCTTTTATCTCATTAATCATTACTTTGGTAAGCGCATTCATCCAAACTTCGGAGTGATTCAGGTTTTAAGGCACAAACTGAAATGGGTAAAAGATCTCTCATCAATTTAATTAAAGAAGTTCTCATAAATATGTCTTTCTTGACTAGTGGTCAATTAAAATGACAAAAAGCACCTCGGTAAAAACACACTTTACTCCTTGAAAAGGAGTAAATAATGGTATGTTGTATAGCCAGTGGTGGAAAATAGTCATTTATACATCATGAAAAAAAGTATCTATTAATTGGATTTTAACCTGAGGTTGTCTTTCGACGCGATCAAGCGGAGGGAAACAATAAATTCGAGAGCTCTGAAGAATCTATTTTTTTCTAGGTAAGGTACTTTTTTTCTGTGACGGGGAAATCGACGATTTAATATTGAAAAAATATTACATTTTTGAGTCAGGAAACCGATGATCAGTATAATTATTTTGAATGAGTTTTTTCCGACTCCGCTGGAGTTAGAGTAGAAGCAGTGAAAGTAGCGTCACAAAAATCATTGCCAGCTAAGACGAGGAAAATTTGCAACATAATATACATATAAAGTCTTTCTTGGTTAAATGGTTTTCATTTTTATGAATTGTTCATCTTGTCGAAAAAGATGCCTCACCTTTGAAAACACCCTATATAACTCGTAATATTAAATATACATACGCATATCCACTTGCCCACTCGAAATTATCTAGTATACTCCAGATATTCAATCCGCTCACATTTACATCATAATCGTATATGGCGTCTAGTATAGAGTTGAAATAGTTCTGGAAAATATAGAAAGAAAACTCAGTTGAAATACATATGGATTCGCATGAGATGTATGTATGTATACATCAACATTATTTCCTAAATCATCCAACAGGGTATACATAGTTTTTCCACCCAAGTAAAGACTTTATTTTTGTATCTTTCGACTATAATCTTTTTTTTGTTTGGTATAGGTATTTGAGAATTTGAAATGCATATCTAGAAAGATATATAAACCGGGTGACACAGGGTGTATCCAGTGCCAACTCTATCCCTGGTGTATCAGGTCACTCTTGTGAACGGAAATTTTTTGAAATTTGGTAGGTATATAAGCAACCATTTCGGATTTGATCACATTACCATCCAATATGGCGGAGGGCTTCTGGTTTTTCTGGAAATACCTGCAACTTTGGGTTTTTCAAATGGAACACCCTGCATATTTTCACATATTCCAGTCCAATACGTCAACACAAGTGCAATCTTCATGTTAAATGTAATTTTTTTGGAAAAATAGAAATTAAAATTGTTTTTCTATTATACAACGTTGAGAAATGAGATGTGGTCAATAAAATTTATTTTCGGTCGGGTTTCAGTCATATCCACATCACATTTTGATCAAAAATGCATTTTTTTTCGAATGGAATATTTTCTTTCAGTTCGAATAATTCCAATTTATGCGAAAAAATAGCATGAATATATAGGTTGTTCCATTTGAAAAAAAAAAGTTGCTGGCATTTGAAGAAAAACAGGAAGTCCGCCATATTGGATTGCAATGTGATGACATTGGTCCGAAAATGCGTTGTTTCCGAGATACAGGGTGTTCAAGTTTGAAAAAAAAATAGTTTTCTTATATCTCAATAACTTGAAAATGCTCAAGCCGATTTGAACATGATATTATCAAACATTTACTGGACCAATTAAATTTAATCCAGAATTTCCGGGGGCGCACTAATCGAGAAAGTCGGCTTTTTTTGTATGAAAAAAAGTCACCTTGTCTTCGTTTTCAGGTTCTCCATAACTATTCAGATTATGAACTTGAAAATGTTTTTACGTCCATGATTCAGATAAACCCACTAAAAATTCTGCCTCTTGCTATTTTTGCGTATCTTGCTTTGTTTCCGAGAGAAACTCCATAAAGAAAATTAGATAGTATCCAAAAATGTATTGCACACTATTATTTATGAAAACAAAAGTTATATAAAATTCAATAACCTCTCTGAAATGTACATGATCTTAAAATTTTGTGAGAAATGTTGTTTCAGGATATGAATGAAATACTCACTTTTTTTTAAACTTGGACACCCTATATCTTAGAAACGAAGCATATTCGGACCCATGTTCATATCAACTTATTTTCAAATTTTGTTGGGAGGGATCTCCCCTATATGGACCAAATTTCAGAAAAATCCGTTCACGAATGCAGAACTTACAGGGGTGTCCCCATACACCGTGTGTCACCCGATATATCTGGCAAAATATGCATTTCAAATTTGCATTCAAATCTGAAACACCCTGTATATTATTTTAAAATGACAAAAACCGGTACAGGTGTGTTTTGATTGTATTGAGTGATTCTAACTGTGAATCATCGGTCGTGAATTTTTGTTGTGAAAGAAAATGGTGATATTACTTTATGAAATTTGAGCCAAGATATAGAAGTGGTGGTAGTTATTACGATTACAGCCCAAAAATGAAATTACTCTCTTTATCCTTGTTGAATGTGCATTAAATACCCACCTGAGGAAAATAAGATTATCATGATTGATAAAGATTATTTTACAAGTGTATATAGGGTGGACACACTGTATGAAGGCTAAACCCAGACAGCACAGGATATTCTATCAATGTTTTTACAACGCTCACAACATACCACCTTCAGAATATTCCGAAGAGCGTTCATAAAATATAATGAAGATGTTCTGATTGTTCATAGAATTTCATCCGAAATTCCTAGGAACCTTCCTATAGAATATTCCATTACATTCTATGAATGTTATTATGGTATGATCATAGAATCATAGAATGTTATGTTCGAATATTCTAGGCATGTTCTCCAGGTATGTTCATAGAATTTATTATTTAGATACTCTGAGAAAACTGTTTGTTTCCTCTATCATGTCCTAACTTGCTCCGTTTATGATATACAGCAGGAAGTCAAATATTTTAGAAAGAATCGATTTTTCATTGATTATTCAAAATCTTTTTCGCTGATTTCGATAAAACTTGTCATGCCAATCTGCGGTAGCAATGGGGTTTAGTTAACTCAAATTTACCCCTAATTTCTTCACTTACTTTCTTCCTACCCTACCTGACGAGTTAAAGCTCAAAATTTTGAAATTTTTATTTTTCCTTCCAGAACTTCGTATATTTTCCTCCTACACTGAGAATATTTCTAGATCATTCAAAGGATGTTCCATATATTCATAGAATGTTCTGTGAATGTTCTGAAAAATATTATGAGAACGTTCTTGGAATGGAAGTGAATTTTCATCCCATTTGCATGTTCTTAGAATATTCTCCGAACGTTCAGTACACTTTGTAAGAGCATTCTGAGAATATTCGAAATCTTCTAAGGGAATATTCTGAGAACGTTCGCAGGATCACTTTGTGCTGTCTGGGAAATAATTATGATCAGTGAAGAACATTATATAACTTACGTGGAATAAACGGATTCTGAGTTCATCATACAACGTACTACCGTCATCAGATGAGCCAATTTCCAATATTAAAATTTCAGGATTGTTGTAAGTTTCTTTGACATATCTCAGAATATGTAGTGGTGCATTTGGGGTGAACTGAAACATAAATTAATTTATATTGTCATTTATTCTACCGCAATGGCCAAAATCAAATCTGATTTTTCTATACAGGGTGTCCGGTAAATCATAAACCATGGATCATATACTAGCTGGTGATAAACAAGTTCATAACCTATCAGAAAACTCTACAACTTGACCTTAGTAAAAACCTCACGGTTTTAGAGAGATCGGAACTTTTAGAACATTGTAGTCTTCCATCCAAAGAAACTTTTGAGTTTTGTTCTTATGTCTCATGTCTGTACTATGCAGTTCATATCACGTGTCAATATTGCATATTGTCATATGTCAATTGTTTTCACCTTTCTCGATGTTATGTAAAAATGAATGACAGATTGACGATTGACTGTTATTTTGAACTATTTTGACTAATGATAAATGAGATGGCTACGTGCGTAAATTTTTCATTCGTGCGTAATATGCTTCTTGCAACACCATAAAATAATATTGTTACGACCCTGGCGATCAATCCCAGCTACCTGCGATGAAAGTAAACAAGTCATATTTCTTGGAATAGTAATTAGGTGATTCGACGGCTATTGAGATGACTCGAGAAGATTATCGACCTGTTCACGATATTTCGAGTGGAATCTAGACGTTTTATTAGGTAGTATAAATAGTTGTTGTTAGGGACAGGAAGGGAAGTCTTTATTTGGAAGCGTTATAATAACGATCGAAGAAGTGTTGTGAATCGGAAGTGTTTAGTACGAGTATTGTAATTATTGTATAGTAGTGTTCAGAATAAATCGTTTCAAGTGTTCTACCGAGTGTTAAATTATTACGGACCCAGAGTAAAATCGTAACAGTGGTGTCAGAAGTGTGGATTTTCGAGGACATTTGAATACGTATGGTGAATACAAGGAGTACGTCATAGGACACGATGGAAGACATTATAAAATTCATGAAAAATCAGTTCGCAGAACTAGAGAAACGACGACAGGAAGATGAGAAACGACGACAGGAAGAAAAACTAGAAGAAGAAAAACGTCGTCAAGAAGAGTTACAGAAAATTCTAGAACATCAAGAAAAAGAACGAGAACATCAAGAAAAAGAACGAGAACATCAGAAAATCTTCTTCGAACAAATTCTGCATAAAACTGATAAGCAAATGGATGAGTTGAAGACATGTCACCAGAATTGATGACAAGCTTAACCAGGAAGTTTCAAGAATAGATTCCATGCTCGATGCAATCGAAAGAAATGTAGCGAATCAGATCACCTCGCTACGAAGTCAAGATCGCCGTGACAGAGTTGCCACATCGGGTTCTTCCGTGAAACCACCAACTTTTGATGGACAGTCGCCTTGGTCTATGTATCGCCGACAATTTGAGGCTGCAGCAAGTGCAAATGGGTGGAGTGACGAGGAAAAAGCTACTGCACTCATAGTAGCTCTGAGAGGACCAGCTTTGGGGATGTTACAGTCGATCCCAGTTGAACAACAAAACCACTTCGGAGATTTAGTGGCTGCGCTAGAACTCAGGTATGGTGACCAACATCGAGAACAGCTTTACCGGGCTCAGATGAAAAATCGTGTGCAGAAGTCTGGAGAGAGCCTACAGGAGTTCGAAGCAGATGTGAGAAGACTGACTCAATTAGCCTACCCAGAGGCACCAGAGGACTTCAAAGAACAACTGGCGGTGCAGGTATTCATCGACGGGCTGAGAGACTCAGAAATACAGAAGACTCTGAGGCTTACACACTTTAAGAGGAGTGGTGAAGCCCTAGTAAGATCTCTGGAGGTAGAAGCGGCCTTCAACACCTCTAGGCCAAAAGTGAGAGCTGTGTCCATCGAGGAGCCTTCCGAAGACGTGGACCCAGTGGCGAAAATGTTGAGAAAAGTGCTTGAGGAACTCAAAGAAATTAAGAGTGGGTCTAGTAACCAGCGAAATAGATCCTGCTATCGCTGTGGCAGAACTGGACACCTGATAAGGGACTGTAAGGTGAGAGTACCACCACGATCTTCTTCACCTGCAAGGACGCCATCACGGTCGTACTCACCTGCGAGGACTAGGTCATCTAGTGAGTCCTCAGATAGATACCAGGAAAACTAGAACTAGCCAGCGTATCGGGGCGCATGCTGGCTAGTAATAGCGAAGCCCCCAGGGTCATTAACATCAAAAGGATAAGAAGAACAACTGATAGCCTGACCATCAAAGGAAAAATCAACCAAATGGATGTAACCTGCACCATAGACAACGGTGCATCAGTTTCCCTGGTACGCAGTGACATTATCCGGCCTGGAAGTATAAAACCAACCACTTCCAACTTTGTTCTTCGTACGGTCACTGGAGAAAATGCACCTATACGAGGGATGGCTGATATCGAGTTGACGCTTGGAAGACTCCATATAGTGAACATGGTATACGTCGCAGATATCGAAGATGAGTTTATCCTCGGCATGGATCTGATAAGCGACTACGGGTTTTCATTCGACAGTGATCAGAAGACCATGAAATTTGGAGGAGAAGAGTTTGTACTAACGACACCGGCCGAGAGGGAGACGTCTGTGAGGCTACGACTGGCGAAGACTGTGAGAATTCCTGGATTCACTGAGAAGATCATCCATGCGCGATTAGAAGAGGACCCTGGGTACTGCGTTGGATTAGTACAGTCATGTGAGGAATCCCCCAGCAAGCTGTTACTTGCCCGAGCTTTAGTGACCACCGAACGAGACATTCCTGTGAGGGTAGCAAATGTTTTACCTACCACCATAACAGTAAGGGAAGGAGATATTATCGGAGCTTGTGAACCAATCAGTTGGGTAGCAAAATGTGATAAGACTAACGAGCAGAGATGGAGGGAACGAGATGACAGTGCATTGAAAGTTCTGGAAACCTCCTTGGACCACTTATCACCAACAGAATATAAAGCTGCCAAGAAATTCATAGCAGACGAAAGTGATATCTTTGAATCAACATCAACAGGGCGGACGAACTTGGTCAAGCACAGAATAGATACTGGTAAAGCTCACCCAATTCGGCAACCACCAAGAAGAATGCCATTTGCTAAGCAACAGGAGGTGGAACAGCTGGTTGACAAAATGATGAAGGATGGGGTAATTGAAGAATCATCCAGCCCTTGGTCTGCACCGGTTGTATTAGTGTCCAAGAAGGATGGATCCACAAGATTCTGTGTGGATTATAGGAAGCTCAATGACGTCACCAAGAAGGATAGCTACCCGTTACCAAGGATTGATGACACTTTGACTACATTGGCTGGCTCCCGATGGTTTTCGACACTGGACTTGAAGAGCGGATACTGGCAAGTGGGCATTCACGAAGAAGATAAGGAGAAGACTGCTTTTACGACTGGTAATGGACTGTACCAGTTTACTGTGATGCCTTTTGGACTATGTAATGCCCCAGCAACCTTCGAAAGGCTGATGGAATTGGTACTGCGTGGGCTCACTTGGAAAACTTGCCTGGTATATCTGGACGATGTTTTGGTCATGGGAAAGAATTTCGAGGAACACCTGAAGAACTTACGGGAAGTGTTCCAGCGATTCAGGAATGCCAACCTCAAACTGAACCTGAAGAAATGTTCACTATTCCAGAAACGAGTAGATTTCTTGGGCCACACGGTAACGTCAGAAGGAATACAAACTGACGAGACAAAGATTCAAGCCATTCGAGACTGGCCAAGACCGAAGGACAAACATGAAGTTAGAAGTTTCTTGGGATTGTGCACTTACTACCGTCGTTTTGTGGAAGGATTTGCTGATATTGCGGCACCACTCCATAGATTGACAGAAGATCGAGTCAACTTCAACTGGTCTGTAGAATGTGAGAAATCCTTCAAGAAATTGAAGGCTGGCCTCTGTTCGAGTCCTATTTTGGGGTTCCCACAAGAGAGAGGCTTGTTTATTTTGGACACAGACGCGAGTAACATCGGAATTGGAGCCGTGCTATCACAAGTACAGGATGGTCAAGAAAAGGTTATAGAATACTACAGCAAAGTGATGGCCAAACCAGAAAGGAATTATTGTGTCACCAGGAAAGAACTGCTGGCAATTGTTAAGGCTGTTGACCATTTCCACAAATACTTATACGGGAGAGAATTTCTCATTAGGACGGATCATGCAGCTTTGAGGTGGCTGATAGAGATGAAGAATCCTGGAGGTCAAATAGCAAGATGGCTGGAAAAGCTGAACCAGTATCACTTCAAGATTAAGCATCGCCCAGGAAAACTACACCAGAATGCAGATGCCATGTCCAGAAGACCTTGTTCGGAAACCTGTAAGCATTGTCTGCGCATTGAACATCGAGAAGGAACCGCTGATGTTAGAAAAACCAGACTTGTGACCGATGATAAGTGGACAGCAGCACACATGAGACGAGATCAGGAGAACGATCCGAATATCGCCGATTTTCTACGTTGGAAAGAAAGAGGAACAGAAAGACCGACATGGAAGGATATCTCGGATAGAGGGCCTGCTTTCAAGGCGATGTGGGCACAATGGGACTCACTAGTTGTGGAGAATGGATTATTGAAGCGAGTTTGGGAATCAGCTGATGGTAGATCAACAATTTCTCAGCTGGTTGTGCCCCACATCAGAGTTAATGAAGTTCTGGAAGAAGTCCATGGCGGAAAATCTGGTGGACATTTTGGAGTTAACAAGACATTGAGTAAAATTCGAGAAAGATTTTACTGGGTTCAATGTCGTGACGACGTGGAAAGTTGGTGTAGAAGATGTCCTGTATGCGAAGCCAGTAAAGGTCCCAGAACGAGATCAAGAGCTGGAATGAAGCAATACAATGTGGGTGCACCGTTTGAAAGGATCGCCATCGATGTAGCCGGACCATTCCCTTTGACTGATGATGGAAATAAATACATCTTGGTTGCTATGGACTACTTCAGTAAGTGGGTAGAAGCATACGGCATGCCAAACCAAGAAGCCTCCACAGTTGCCAGGATATTGGTCGACAACATGTTTTCACGGTTCGGAGTACCAATGGAATTACATTCTGATCAAGGGAGAAATTTTGAGTCGAACTTATTCAAAAAGGTCTGTGATCTAATGGGAATCAGTAAGACGAGAACAACTCCACTACATCCACAATCCGATGGCATGGTCGAAAGATTCAACCGAACTATGGAAGAACATCTTTCCAAAGTAGTCGAAGAGCATCAGAGGGACTGCGGGACAGGCATCTTCCCTTATTCCTGATGGCGTATAGAGCAGCTGTCCATGATTCAACGAAGCTAACTCCAGCTAGTATAGTCTTTGGAAGAGAACTCCGCTTACCTTGTGACTTGGTGTTCGGTTCACCAAGTGTTGAAGAAAAGGAAGTACAAGACTACGCAGATGAGCTCCGGAATGCCTTGATGAAAACTCATGAGACTGCTCGGAAGAGATTGAAATTAGCAAGTGACAAAATGAAGGCACGGTACGATCTCAAAGCCAATTCAGAGGGATTCTTCGAAGGAGATCGAGTTTGGCTGTATAATCCTCGACGGAAGAAAGGCGTATCACCCAAATTAACACCATCTTGGGAAGGACCGTATACGGTGTTGAAAAGGATCAACGATGTGGTCTACAGAATCCAACGCAGCCCTAGGACAAAGATGAAAGTCGTTCATCTTGAAAGACTGAAGCGCTACCATGGTGAGGAAAGTTCTGTTTTTGATCGGGACGATCAAATTTGAAGAAGGGGGTAAATGTTACGACCCTGGCGATCAATCCCAGCTACCTGCGATGAAAGTAAACAAGTCATATTTCTTGGAATAGTAATTAGGTGATTCGACGGCTATTGAGATGACTCGAGAAGATTATCGACCTGTTCACGATATTTCGAGTGGAATCTAGACGTTTTATTAGGTAGTATAAATAGTTGTTGTTAGGGACAGGAAGGGAAGTCTTTATTTGGAAGCGTTATAATAACGATCGAAGAAGTGTTGTGAATCGGAAGTGTTTAGTACGAGTATTGTAATTATTGTATAGTAGTGTTCAGAATAAATCGTTTCAAGTGTTCTACCGAGTGTTAAATTATTACGGACCCAGAGTAAAATCGTAACAATATATACACCTCGGGACTAAAGAGTTTCTAGCTGCCTCGACAAATGACAAAACTTTTCATCTATGGATTTGAAGTACCACTTTATTCCCTAGTTGTATAATGTACTATTTTCGTTACCTAAACCAAACCTGTCCCAAAATAGATATTTACGATACGTGTATTGTAAAGAGTCATATTACGATATAAGATGGGAAATTTATCAAACGAATCCGAAGGCATAGTTTGATAACCCATCGAGTATCGTAATATGAGTTTACGATACGAATATAGTACAATATTTTACCTACTACCAAAAACCTAATAATTTGATCAAAAATATTCAATATTTCTTGAACTGACGATTCATTAGGAATGTGTAAGAAACAAGCGTTGCAAGGGTTGGGCGTATGGTTGTCGCGTGAATCTATTGTGTTCTCGGTTGTCACTTATTCGGCGAATTGTAAACTTTGACGCGCTAATTTCATTTCGAAAAATAATTCATCAGTATGGATTCGGATCACAAAAGTTCAGATTTCGATATAGAAATTGCGGCGAACGCAGCAATCATAACTTTAGTTCCTGCTACATTCATGATAAATTGGTTTTCATTCCTTTTTTTCAGTAAAAATAAAATTTGGAATGATATTGTAATAGTGATAGTATATTATGTAACATGTACGTGTTATAAACTTCCTTTTAGTAACGAGTATTTTAAGCACGAGCGGAGCAGAGCGGAGCGAGTGTTTAATAAACGAGTGTCTAGAAGAGTGTATAAACGCGTTACATACTATGCTTTTTCTACGAACTCCAAAAATTACATTAATTAACATACCTGTTATTCCTGCTAACCTACAAAATAATTCGAAAGGAATGGGAATTGAGAACATAATACATGCAACTGCATGCAACCAGCGAGACACGTATAAGTGATATTGGTTGTAGATCTGTCCAGTCCATTGCTTACTAACCTTTGTTTCACGTTCATTGTCATGCTTAGCGCAGAATAAATAAATTGTTCTCAAAGATGGATGCTTATTCATTTTTACACTTCTTGGAGATATGCAAGTACCAGAACATTCTCTTCGATTTCACTTTCGTCTACATTTCGCATATATTCTTAATGAAGAATTCTGATACAAACGAATATTGTTTGAATAATTCTGATACAAAATTTGAAAATAACAGTTGACAGTTGATACAATTGACAGACCAGACATGTCCCAAATTACTGAAGCTCTGTGTTTAATGAACTGCATGTGTTGCCATGGTAATGTGTTTAATATTTTGAATAAATCACAGATCGACAATCCGTGATTAATCGATCATTTAGCGTGGTACATATCCGTACGCTAAATGCCATTTTAGTTATGTGATTAGAAAAAGTATCTTATTACGATAATACAATCAGTGTCGTAATATTTCACATTACATATTGGTAGTGGGTAAAAAAAATTGTCGACGCCCCAGGTGGTCTTTCCCATACCATCCCATACTCACCGCAAAATATCCGGTCTCCAACGTCCAGTTGGGACTGAAAGACAGCTGCGAGTGGACATCCGCCTCATAGCTCGATACGTTATGTGGGAATTCCGGGAGATTCTCCACCAAGTAGCCGGTGTACATGTTCACTCCGAAGAAGTCGAAGGTCCCGTTGATGAGTGCGATTTCTACCGGACTAAAAGCAGGTAGGCGAGATTTCGTCAGGTTTGCCCGTCTGCTCCTCTCGGCTATTCTTCTTTCGGCCTCCGGGGGCCATCCTCCCAAAAATACCGGGTGTGCATACAGGCCAGTCTAGAGAAATAAGAGGGTCTTCGTGAAGCAACCCAGCCAGCACAAACATCCCTGGGATATGTTTTTGAATGTTTTGAAAATGTTGGCATAAATATGTTTCTATGCCTTCGGGAGTAGCAATTAGTTTTTCTGGTAACAAAAGAGGGACAGAAGTCTCGTATTATTTTCTAGGGAGATAATGTGACATATTTTCTCCCTAGGGAGTTTATACTAACTTTACATTCTCCGCATAGCTCTGCGCTTTCTCTTCGGAACACCCTCCTCTGAAGCGAGTATAAAGCTGCATCATACAGATTTCGAGATCTCAGGTAGCAAGTTAAGAATCACTGCAGAAGCAGTATCAATAGTTTCTTGGGGTTTTCCCTCGATTTCTTGTTCCATAACCGTTAACCATTTTCAAATTTGTATTCTTAATTTTTGTGTTCTCGCCAGCGTGAAAAATAGAATATACACCTCAGGACAGAATGCTATTTTTGCCTTGGTACTTCGCTCTCGGAGCTACAAATCGCACCTTGGAAGAAGTCTTCCATTTTTGTCCTTTGATGCATAATGTACTATTTTTTGTGACGTAATATGCACTCCCCGAAGAGGTCTTTGAAGAACATTGAAGTATTGTTTTTGTTCTTCTTTGACATTTCTTTGTATGCCTACTGAAAGGTATCCCTGGGATGTTTTGAAATGTTTTGGATGTTTTTTGAGACGCGATAGGCATTCCCAAAGAGCTCTTTAAATGATATTTAAAGTATTTTTTTGTTCTTCTGTGGCATTGCTCTGTTTGCCTACTGATGAGGAAGTATTCCTGGGATGTTTCATAAATTTAGACATCAGGATGTTTTTTTAAGACGTGATATGCATTCCCAAAGAGGTCTTTAAATGATATTGAAAGTATTGTTTTTGTTCTTCTGTGGCATTTCTTTGGTTGCCTACTGAGAAAATATCCCTGGGATGTTTTGGGATGTTTCGAATATGTTGGCATGTGAATGTTTGTTTGTGACGTAATAAAACTTTCCAAAGAGGTCTCTGAAGAACATTGAAGTATTGTTTTTGTTCTTATGTGACATTTCTTTGTGTGCCTACTGAGAGGTATCCCTGGGATGTTTTGGGATGTTTTGAAAATGTTGGCATGAAGATGTGATTTTGAGACGTAATATGCACTGACCAAAGAGGTCTTTGAAGGATATTGAAGTATTGTATTTGTTCTTCTGTGACATTTCTTTGTGTTCCTACTGAGAGGTATCCCTGGGATGTTTTAAAAATTAACGCATCCTGATGGTTTTTTAAGACGTGATATGCATTCCCAAAGAGGTCTCTAAAGGATATTGAAGGTATTGTTTATGTTCTTCCATGACATTTCTTTGTTTGCCTACTAATGAGAAAGCATCCCTGATGGGTTGTATTGAGATGTTTATAAAATTTAGGCATCAGGATGTTTATTCAGACGTGATATGCATTTCCAAAGAGATCTTTGAAGGATATTGAAAATATTGTTTTCCGTCGACCTCGTATTAACGACTAAGTTTAATGTTTATGAAGTCGTTCAATAATGACCCCTATTAATGAACGATTTGTCTATTAATGCACGATTGTTTTATAGGCAACCAAACATACATCTCGTGCATTCATTATTTAGGCTATAACTTACGGAATCTGCATTTAAATCGAAAATATGGATTTCATCGGAGATTTTCCGTTAACGGGTTCGCCTTTCCAAGTTTCTAACACGATTTTAATTCTTGTTTTCTAACAAAAGAAATTTATTTTCTATGTTGATCATTTCGACAAATGTCAAATGCCACTAATGTCAGTAACAAGGCTACTGAGCGATTCTTAGCAGTTTCCGGATGAATGATGAATTCGCGAACCAAGTTTTCTTCATTGCAGGAGAAATGAGAAATATAGTCGACCGAAAAATGTTGTAACCAACTTGTATATTAAAAGGCGATTAATGATCTCGAACATTTATCGCCCCCATTAATACACTAGTTGGTTAAATAACTATTTTGTTCTTCCGTGGCATTTCTTTGTTCACCTACTGAGAAAATATCCCTGGGATGTTTTGAGATGTTTTAAAAATGTTGGCATGTGGATGTTTTTTGAGATGTAATATATCATCCCAAAGAAGAATTTTGTGGAAATCTTATCGTTTGTGAAGTTTTTACATTTGCTATATGGATTTCAATCAAGTAACGGCCGAGTCAATTCAAAATCTAAGTAGGTATCTGGTACTGGTACCTGTAATAAAAACTTACATCGAAATCAGCGGTCCTTCTGGTCGCCGCGATGTCTGCAGCAGAAGATGCGTTTTTTGGCTGAAACCACTGGATATCTAGGGCCATTGACATTTTTCCTGTAAATCATAAAACATATTACTCTGGTGAATATCGTGGAGATAACTCTAAGCTTTCTTTTCCTCTTGAACGTTGATAACGTATCAAGTCCACAAAAGATTATTATCAGATATACAGAGTTTCTATATAAACACCACCGATATACAGAGTGTAATTTAATTGATGGCTGAAAATATAAGATATGGTTCCTTAGCTCATTTCAAGAAGAAAAGTTCATATGAACATACGAAGGTATGAACTAAACCTCTTAACTTTGAAGCTATACCGGGTGGCTACGGAAGTATTGCCTACGGAATATCTCAGTTATTGTATGAAGTAGGTTTGTGAAATTTGAAGCGTCGATATAATGACATAAGAGCTAGAATTTGAGCATATTGACATGTCGAAGTTAACTTCCGGTCTGAGCCTAGTTCAAAATAATTTCGTTATGCTGTAAATGGATGAAAATGGTTTATATTTTTTTTTACGCGAAAACGGTTTCTCGGACGGAAGAAATAACATTGTTGCAAAACGAATGAGGATTTACACAATATATTTTTTCAAATATCCAGTATTCATCCCATACGGACGCCACTGGTAGGAATATTAAAAAATTCAATTTTTATAACCTTCAAATATCCTGTAATGTTCAGAGAACATCGTGAAAACCAAGGGAAATAAGGTAACAATTGGTGTTCTTCTGGGCAATGTGTTCCAGAGCTTCGCTGTTCGTTGGATGAACGAGTCTTTGGAGAGAGATGTTCTGCAGGTCTCCAAAGTGACCACGAAGGGATGCGAAGCCTCAACTCGACGGATTAATCTCGCGGAGACTGCCAAGGGAGGAACAATTGTTGATAATTCAGAAGAGCATCATCCATGAAAATATCTATAAAATAGAGCCAGATCGCCAACTTTTCTGCGGTGTTCCAGAGAAGTGAGTGAGTTTGTGAGCGAGGCATCACCCACGAGACGAATTGCCTTTTTTTGGACAGAATCCAACAGTTTCAGGGTATGTTTGGGTGCTGCATTCCGAATATGGGAGCAGTAATTCCAGGACAGGTCGGATCTGTGCCTTATAGATCATAAGCAGCTGACGGGAAGTGAAATAGATCCTGGCCCGAAACAGGAAACCAAGTTTTTGGGATGCACTTTTAGTAATTGATCTCACGTGATTTTCCCAAGAAAGGTTATTGCTGATAGTAATCCCAAGCATCGAAATGGATGTCTTCAAGGGTATGGTTACACCTGACAAGCTTTTCTAGAGAAAGGGCATGCTTGTGTTTTGTTTGCATTGGAATCTATCAAGCTATTGAATCCTCATTCGTGAATTGTTGCCAAATCCATATTTATGTTGTCAACATTTCTCCCTCGTTCTTTACTGATTTGCCTCGCTGGAATTGGAGCCCTGGAAGAGAAGGCGGTATGAAGGGTACTATCATCCGCGAAGCTGTGTATTGGCCATGAAGTTGCTTCCAACAAATCGTTGATATGGAGTAGAAATAGTGTTGGTGCTAAAATTGATCCTTGCGGAACACCAGCATTTATGATAAGAGAGTCAGATGAAACTCAGTCGACCAGTACATGGAGAGACCTGTTTGAGAGAAAACTAGCTAGCAGAGAATATTAGTATTTCCTGTTGTCCAACTCACCTTCGTGACGAGGAAACTCGTTCTTGTACATCCGATAAACGGTAGCATGCGCCATCATCATCATATAAATGCACTTGTACTCGTCCCTCCCGCTGCTCCTGATGCCAGGGGCGAACACCCCCACGCCATACCCCTCCCGGCAAAAAGTGTGGGGCTCGTTGACAGTCACCCAGTAGCCCACGTGGTGCAGCCGCTTGATGACGATGCGCGCGTAATCGACAAAATGGTCGACGACCTTCGGGTTGGTCCAATCGACGCCCGCGTCCATCAGCGCCTGGGGCAGGTCCCAGTGGTAAAGGGTAGCCACAGGTACCATGCCGTGGTGCCTTATTTCGTGCACGAGGTGCTCGTAAAAGCGCAGCGCTTTTTTGTTGATTGTTTTCGAGGTTCCGTCTGGTAACACCCTAAGAAAATACATAAATTGAAAAAAATGACTATGACTAAGGTTTGGGGCGGGTCTGTTGCAGGAGTATATGAAGGAGGAACACGAAAAGGAATCTCAGTACCTCTTGACAAATACGCTTCAGGGTTCTAGGACGTAGTGTTTGCAATACTGACGTGGGTGTCCAAGAAAATTTCGGCAGAAGTCGACGTGGACCAATCATTACCATATGCTCGGACAACAAAGCTGCTATTATGCATTTAGATCCAACAGAATCATAACTAAATTGGTGTCCGAGTGTAGAAGTGCCTTGAAAAATATGACAGAAACTAGGAAAGTCAGCCTCATGTCCCAGGACACTCGTCGGGTATCCCAGGAACGAGCAGACGGATAGACTAGCTAAGATCGGTTCAGAAACGACACCCATTGGAAAAGAATCGAAAATGGGAATACCAAATAGCATGGCTATGTTTTTCATGGAGAACTGCTACAGGGGCAGTTCCTTGAAACATGGCGGGACACATATTAGGAATGAGACAATCAAAGCTTCATATAAAGGAACCTTCCACGAGAGAGGTCCAGTCACTTGACAGAAAAACTCTCAAGATGGTAGTTGGGCTCCTTGATGGACACAACCACCTCAACAGTCACCTGAAGCTCATAGGGATAAAACATGATCACATCTGCAGATGGTGCTTCGAACATGATGAATCATCATCGTATATACTTGCTAAATGCCCCGCGCCTGTGCCTCAGAGGAAAGCTGCCTTTGGGAGCATTGTATTGTACTCAAAGGAAGTGAAAGTGATCCAGCTGAGGAAGCTGCTGAATTTCATCAAAGAAATTGGCATGCCCAGCTGATTCACAGGTCATATGTGGGCGAGCGATGGGCCCGACTGAAGAGGCCTCTGAGTGCAAGGATCTATGCACACCCGCCCACTCGTGCAGAGAAGAAAAAGAAGAAGAAGAAGAAGAAGAGGCAAAAAGTGAGGTAATATTGGCATGGGGACTTGAGGTGTTTGTAGTAACGCAACGCTCGTCTGTTGACGATTTTCGAGGCTACGTCTGGTAACACACCCCAGGAATATTCATTTTTTCGGCAACCGTTCGAAAAGTCCCAGGCAACCAGATGACGAATGATCACGTCACTGTGACGTCCCTAATTGGTGATTTTTCGTCAGAGACGTCACACACCAATTTATGACGTCACTATGACGTACTTCCTATGACGTGATAATTACTTCATCGTTTCGACGTCGAGTAAACGTCACTTAGATGGTTAAAAGAAGACGTCAGTTTCATGACGTTGCAGGGACGTCCTGTCGACGTCCATTTTTCCCAGACCTTCTCTAAACCATGGATACTTATATATTATCATGTGAAACAGAAGTATGTAACATGCAAGTTTTATTTTAATTATCAATATACCCGAAAAGTAGTAGAAAAACTTTTTTGTAAAAAACTTTGACACACTGTATATCTAGGAAACCAACAAGCTATGTATATATGATAATGATTGTTTAGGTATACCTATTCTGAAACCGTTACTCTTATGACGTTGCAGTGACGTATCTATGACGTCTGAAAATCACGTCGGTGTGACGTACCAATTTGGTGAGCTTCGTCATTTAGGAAATTTTTCAATAATATTCTATCAAGATTTTTGTTGGGTGACAAAGAATGCATCAATATACATTATTCAACAAAGTAAAGCTAAATTCGCCAACATCCTTTCCATTGCTGTCAAACTATTCTTTGTTTGCTTACATCTCGCCGACACAAACTACATAATTTCTGATACAAATACGAGGAACTGATTGCATTCTGATGGAGATGCGTACTGAAGGATAGCGCTGCTGAATAGGCGATTGAATGAACATGACACAGGAGGGACCCACCAAGCAGACTCAACAATGCATAATCAATATTATATAATGTCATCAGAGGCTAGTGGTGTTAATCACACCATGTTAAAGGAATCTTTTTTACGTATCATCGCCAAATTCAATCGTCATTTTGACGTCATTATGACGTCAGTCGGACGTCACAGTTTGGTGAGTGAATGACGTCAATACGACGTGAGTAATATGACGTCATTGGGCTGTGACTTATTCACGTCAATGCGACGTCAACTACTGACGTCACCTTGGTTATTCAAGTGACGTAAAAAAGACGTCACTGGAACGTCATCTGGTTGCCTGGGGTGTCCAATTCCTGAACTTCTCGTACTGACTTTTGATCGGAACAGATACAGGGTGATCAGAATTCTGAATCTTGAACCACCCTATATATTATGTATTTGTTCCAATTAAATGTCAGTAGATATATAGTAAATGAAAAGTTACGATAGGGCCAAGAAAGCCGTTTTGACCGATAATGAATAGTTTCGACAAAAAAATCCTATTGTTGAAATATCTCGATTTTGAACACTCTATATCTCTGTGATCATTCCCGCTAGACCCCAAGTGTGATGCATTGATGAAATCAGCTCTCCAAGGAGAATCTCAAAATGCAATGAAATACAGGGTGATCCATATCATCCATAAGCGGCAACGCTGCATTGCTAAAAATATTTTAAAACGATAGACCAAGAGCAACTACTTGAGTAACCAAATTTTCAGAATGATCCTATGTCCCGTCCCGTTCTCCGTGAACGTCTAATAAGGTACCATCGACCGTGACCCAGCCTGTATAGTTCTTCACATAGATAGATAGATAGCACTTTATTTTCAACAGGTATATACACCCAATTACAGGAAATGTAAAAAGTGATAGGTATTAGCTTGTACAAAAACAAAACTATTTCTTAATGAAAAATAAAAATAAGAAGAGAGACAAATAAATACAAACAATGAAGAAAGAAAAAAATTGATAGAGAAAAAATATTACAGATGAAAAGTCTTATCGAGGATACATTTCAGAATTGGTTTGAGGGTACTATCATTAATATCGCACATATTACATATCAAATTGAAATTATCACACATTGTTGTCACCGGTTCCCTGAGATTAATATTAGTTATATACTATTTTCACCATAGAATGTTATTTCATGTCTAGTACTCATGCGAAGAGTGTGGAAATTGATATTTTCTAAAAGTGGGGCACATGATATATCTTCTTATGTATAAAGTTTTATAGAAATGAAACTGTGATAATGATTCGTCGTGTGTTCAAAGATATAATATCAAATTGATTCAAAATAATTGAATTATCAGTTCCCCTTTCGAGATATACTCTGGTTAGTTTAAAAGTAAAATGCTTCAACAGTTTTTGGTGAACTGATTCAATGTGAATTATTATAGATAGGATATCATCAACGCTCCATATTCCAGTTTAGACCTTACCATAAGCATTGAAACCTGTTAGGAGCATATAGGTACTGGTATTTCTAAATTCTTTCGTGTTTATCATTATGAAACCTAGCATTCGATTGATGATTGTTAATTTCGTAATAAAATTCCATTGCTATTCTTTCTAGAAGATGATAAGGTATATATGACATTTAGAAATATTCAGATTGTGATTGATTACCAATTGAAAACTATGTCGATTTCATTCATCAACATGTTAGAATAGTCGTGAAGTTATACCTTGGCCAAGAAATGGAGAATCTGTACATCTTCATGCCAATAGCAGCTGCAAGCTTGACATCCTCCCTGTATAGATGGTAGGAATCACAGGCCACATCAGCGGTGTCCCTGTTGAGAATTCTCGATCGATTTTCGTGGACGAAATGGTCCCAAATGCTGTCTTTCTTTCCATCGATGTTCCATGCCCCCTCAACCTGGAAAGCCGATTGGGCTACTCCGAAAAGGAAACCCGGAGGAAAGGTTCTGTTACGTCCAAAGGCACCATAGCTAAAAAAGATCACATAATGAATAAGGAGAAAGCAGTGTCGAGAGCGGTTAGTGCCTGGATAGGTGACCAGTCAAGTAAACGCCGCGTAAACCCGCACATCTGTAGCAAAATAGCATAATCATAGCTACAGCTACCATATCAATGAGCACAAGATATGGTATGGATATTCCGTCCTTCAGAGGGGGCGTTAAGCCGGCGGTCCCGAGGCCATGGATGTTGGACACGTTAAAGATCCCTACCACTGGTTGGAACACCAGAGGATTCGGCAAAATTTCCGGTTGGGGGTAGAGTGCTCAGCGGCGTCGGTTATTAGCCTCAGTAGCAGAAAAAGGCCGACGTTAAAGCGTTGATTGATATATTACGCTTACGCTGGGAAGATGCCCAACCTATGTTATTTGCGAGTCGATGCCCCGCTCATCCCCTCGTCTATCGTTTAGCCACTGTGAGGTAGCGACTCCACTAGGCACACAGAACATGTCTGAACTAATTGTACAGATTGCTACACTTTTGTACAGAATTACAGATCCCATCCCACCGCGTGCTATCGCTTCAGAAATTTTTGTTTATCCTTGTCTTCTACGATGAGACCCGACCCGCCTGACCGATTCCGATAAAAAAATGTTTGCTACGGTCGGTGAATCCCATATAGACAGTATTGATTTTTTCCTCGGTCCCTTGCGGGTGAGAGAAGAACATATTATGATCTCTCACTCAGTTGGGTTCCTACTCCGTGGCGTTTTTTTAAATTCCCTTGTGAATAACTTGTCATACTTTGCCTATAGACCCCAGACCAATATAATTTGTATATCTGGAAAAACATCTCACGCCTTTTTCGTTGATTATTTTTTTCACTCAATTTGTATCCATTTCAAAGTTTTGTATCAAGACATTACAAAATATTGATAATATAATCAATCTGAATGTGATAATTTCTTAGAGTTTCATCAGTAGATAGAAAATAAATAGTCATCAGATATCTTTGAATCATTGATTGTAAATGGTTCACTATAAAAATGGAATAATCATCTATAATACCCATAATATACAGAGTGAGTCATAACTATTGGAACATATATAGAATTCATTTATTTATTGGATTACAAGAGTTGATGCTGCAATAAGCTTATGAACCATTTTTTACAGTTTCTATAGTTGTTGAAAAATATGATAATATGAATTCTTTTTTGGTATATTTGAAGAGATAAAAACAAAATCAACAGCTACATTTCCAGTCTATATGATACGATATATAATCATGAAATCGGCGTTGATATTTTGTGATACCAGTAACTTTTTCTGAGTAGAATCGATTTTGCCGCTCCAGAACAACGGAGTACAGACTACGGAACGCTCAGAATCTCCGCCCTAACAACACAGGGATGTTCTAGGTACGTACCCTTTTTGCCACACAGTACAAGGACATAATTGGGGCAGAGATTATATACACATAATCTCTGATTGGGGTATCCAGGGGATGTCCTGCAGTGGTTGTCCAGTGGACATCCGGCCCCGTGTACATCCATAGGTTATCCAATTCGTTTCCTTGGAATATCTGATATCTATTCACATCAGAGTCATTGACTTTCATCAAAATATTGAGTGGAATTTTTATGAAAATGTTTGGTTTTTTTCCGGTAAATAATTGTAATGAAAATAAAGAAAATTGTCTCAGAACTTCTCAAGAAATGACCATTTTTCGCAAACAGAAATCGAAAATGCATAATGCACCTCATTTTTAAACATCCACGAATGATAATAATTATACCCAAATCCTAACAAAGTTGTATTTATTCAGGTTTCTGCAGTTTGGTCCTGTTTGAAAATCTGTTTGGTACATAAATCTTCAGAAGGCATATCAGCCAATGGAGTAAGGTGCGTGCCTGATAAGCTAAAGGTCCCGGGTTCAAGCCCTACTCGACCTACATTTTTTTCCCTAGGGATATCCTTTCTTCGTACTTGGTACATCTCAGGGACGTACCAGACGGAAATCCCTTGGATGCTTTATTTGTCAGCCAGCTAATGTCCCTGGGACGTCCCTAGTATGTACTCTGTCCCGACAAAGGATATCTCTGGGATGTCCTTGTATAAAATTAGGGACGTCCCTGGGAATTCCCCAGGATGTACTTGTGTTGTTAGGGCGACAAACGACGGCTTGGCAGCCCTATCGCCGACAAACGCACCGAGTCGGCCGCCCCACAAAAATCAAAGGAAATTATTGGCACTCCAAGTTTCGGCAATACATATAGGTCGGAACATATACCAGTATAAAATACTTTGGATTGATAGCGGTATAGAATTGTCACGCAATGTTCCGCGTTTTTCATGTGATAAATATCAGTAATTTCAATAATAAAAATGTCAAAAATTGTACATAGCTCTGACAAGAAAATGATTTGAGACAGTATCGTTTGATTTATTAGTAATTCGACATGATGAAATATGAAATTCCACTCAAACAGACCCATTTAGATTCAGTTCTAGGGTAAAATACACTAAGGAGACAGCACTGGTCCGGGTTCGTGAATTTCAATCAAATTTATGAGCAGCTTATATATCGATATCCGCTGACCAGTTTATTCCACAATCGCCAAAAATGGAAGCATTTATTGTTGAGACATTAAATTTTGTGATTCACTCCAATTCGATTTCTATAAACTTTTTTCATGATATCACGTCCGTGATGCGCTCGTTAGAAGCACATCCAGTACAACTATTACTAACAAATTCGAATTTACCGCCATATTAGTTAGAATCGTACTGATTGATCGTGGATTCGATACAAGCGTTCTGGATTATGGATTGTTTAATTGTTCCAAGTCGCACGCCATCTGCATTCCAATAGATTCTCTTCGTAAGTGGCGCACCTGCACGTCAAATTACGAAGTATTGCTCCGACATCGTTCGACACTATCGCCGCCACTATGTGAGATTTCGAACTATGGTACGCCATCTAGTTGTGAGATTTTTTTGGACCTCGTTTTGCCCCATAAGGTTGGGCATCTTCCCAGCGTAAGCGTAATATATCAATCAACGGTTAAAGAAACAAGAAGAAGAAGAAGAATAAGGAGAGGAGAATATGAATGAATAAGACAGACATCGGCGAGGTGTTGTGTATTTTTGGAAAGGCTCTCACACCAATTTTTAAAAAAATGGCAAAGTATCCATACATTCACTGGTATTTTACCAGTTGAGAATACATTCTTGTAATCTTGTATACATGTAATTGTCCATACATTGTAGTAGCCTCCTCTATCACCAGATCTGTTACCTTGTGACTACTTTTCATGTTTAATGTATTGATTTACTGTAAGTACTGGGTGACACGTTATAAAGTTCCACCCGTAATTTTTTTTTTGACAGTAGAGAAAAATGAGAAACAGGCTCACAAGAGATTTTCCTGCTCGAATCGAAAGATGTTTCCACTACCTGATGGAAATATATTCAGGGAATCAAAAAATGTGTATCAATTTCGAATAGAACACCCTTAATATATAATTCTTCACTGTCCGAAAGACCTATCAATGAACTGGCCAAATACTCCACTCGATATGATTATCTTCCTAATTTCTCTTTCAATCAATATTTGTAATCATTTGATACACTCTCGGAATCAAACTCTGTTTATTTCAAAAACATATATTTTGAGAAATACAGAAGATGAATATTACATTGATTGGGGAGTATCGAAAACTGGAACCATTAGCACTATAATACACTACTCTGTTTTAGCACCAACTGAACCGATGTTTTATACATCTCAACACGTGTTTTGCTAACTATGTAAGCATCTTCAGGAGAAACTGACATTAGAAATTGAGTTTCAATATTCTCCTGAAGATGCTAACATATTTAGCGAAACACGTATGAAAAGGCGTATGAAAAATCGGTTTGGTTAGTGGTGAAACAGTATTGATTGGGATATTTTTGGAAATCGTTTCAAAAGGTCCTCAATTCCAATGGTGAAGAAATGTATAGGGCGTTCAATTTGAAATTCGCACAGTTCTTGCTGCTTCCTGCATATTCTTTGATTGATTCGAGAAGAAATGATACCCCTCTGAGAGACGGTACTTTTTATTCATTTTGCAATAAACTGTCGAAAACAAGAGAGTTATAGAATATAGGGGGTGGAACTTTATAACGTGTCACCCGGTACGTTTAAACTGAAGAAGATATTGTGTACAAGCGAAACGTGCGTTTTTAGTAATCTTTTGGAGCGCACGAAAATAAGGATTCCCTAATATGTTCAAGGATAGGGAGAGAAGGTAGGTTTTCGTTTTTTTTTTAACCTTTGGAAAATAAGTTCTTGGGGGAATACTTCCTTCAGCAAATAATTCCAAATACTTTGCCGTTCTATTGATAAACGAGTTCTGCGTAAAGAGTTGTTCGATCTATCTTGAGGTTGAAGTCGAAAATATGTGCTGACTGGGCTTAGCGAGCTCGTCTGACTGGTGCAGTTTCAATTACTATATGGATTATTGCTACTGTACCTAACGTGTTAGTCATAAGAAATAAGGTGGTACCCCAATCCCCATTTTTGCAATATAATTATTCCTAATATTCTTTGGCCGCCGTGGTTTTGAGAACTTGTGAAGTAACAATTTCTGAAACTAAATCTTCATAAAATAGTAGCTATATTCTAAGAAATCATAGAAATATCTTTCGCATCGATTCTCAGATTTATCAAAGGTATCAGTAAATTGGGCGGCTCGGTGGTCGAGAGCGTGAAGGCGCTGAGTTCGTATGGGGACTCCCATCCGAGACATAGGTTCAAATCCTAGTTAGGCCATGGATGTTTGTGTTTGTATGTATACCTAACCTCGCACAAGTTTCGTTTATGGGGCGTTTGGTCCCAGTGCTGGGACCAACGAGGTATGCAATTGCAACAAAAAAAATCCAGTAAATCGACTTAGTATTAGGGATGTTGATTAATTCCAGAATTTTCTTTAAATCGGAATTGTTGATTTGATGATTTTCTGTTATTCACTTGGAAAAAATGAAGTAACCCTATATATCATGAATGATAACTTCTATTCTCATACGAACTTTTAGGAAAAAAATAAATAATTTACTAGAAAAATATGTTATTATGTTATCGTCTAGTGATCTAACTTGATGTGTTTCGTAAAATTTGTATGTTGTTTAATCATCGATTTTGAATGAATGAATATAGTGAAACCAAGTAATTTAGATCTTTTTTAGTCTTGTTTTGAAGCTGGTGAATGGGCGAGCGGACTGATAATGAATTATTGGCATTCAATTACTCCACTTTGTCGTTAGAAACCTAAATAAATGTTTGCAACACTTCTCACGATTTTTTAATGTAAATAATAAGTCTATGCGTTGTTCAAAATCGTTGAATTTCAGAGCTCATTTCAAACGTAACGTCATGGCCGCCCTTAGGCGATACGTCGACTAAATGATGACGTCAGTTTTTATGCTCTTTCGTTATTGGTCAGATAATCTTCCATTTTCACTCATGAAACAAGGTTGTCGTTGAATAAAACATAATAGGAGGAACTCATGACATTGTAGTTCATTCTTGACTTTTTTGAGCAACCAGAATGTCCAAATATTTCTTATTCTCTATAACAAAATATCATGTGAATGTTGGAGACTTGGCAACATTGTGCTGAATGCTGAGAACTGACAAGACCACGCCCACAAGTCGTGCTCGTGGTTGTCACGTTCACCGATTCAAATGTCTTCTAGTGTGAACTATTATAATTATCATTTACACAAATGTATTATAAGCAACAAGCCACAATCATAAAGGAACATTTTGAGGCAATTGAATTTTCATTGCTAATTAGGAATATTACCAATACTCAATTGAGAATTTATGAATTATTGAATAACTAATATTTCTGAGGAAGTATTCCCAACAACATTATATAATCTGCAGAAGTTCAAAAAAAATTCCAATACCTACCTCCTGTCCCTATCCTCCCTAGGAACGCACGATGTTCTTTGACCATCATAGGGATTTCCTTTCGTGCGCTCCAAGCGATAAAAAAAACATGGAAACTGTTCAATTTTCAATTTTACCCTTATGTGACTGTGACCAAATGTGGCCGAGACGAAATGTGGCTGAGACGAAATGAGGCTGAGACGAAATGCGGCTGAAACGAGATGTGGCTGAGACGAAATGTGGCTGAGACGAAATGTGGCTAAGACGAAATGTGGCTGGGAAGAAATGTCGCCAAGACCAAATGGACACGAAATGTGGCTGATACGAAATGTGGCTGAGACGAGATGTGGCCGAGAGGAATTGTTAAATTGGGAATTGGGAAAGTATGTGACAACAGCGCATCATTCGAGTATGTTCGGATTCTGTGGGCCAGACGAAATGTGGCTGAGATGATATGTGGCTGAAACGAGATGTGGCTGAGACGAAATGTGGCCGGAACGGGTTGTGGCTGAGAAGAGATGCTCCCAACTGGGGTATGATCTGCCCCTACTTACGAAATCGTGGCGTCAGTTTTCACTGGCGGTGAATTTCTAGCCGTTTGAAAATTACCGTGGCATTATTGATGATTTTTGCACCTAAAAATCGACCGAAAAATCCTTAAAAAATATGAAATTGAAAGTTATTTGAGTGATGATTCTATTTAAGAGATATATACTTTTCCGAAACGCGGGGAAAAATTCAATGGAGGTGAGAAGAGAAGCATAATATATCAATAATCTACGGTGCCGCATCACTGTACTTTAAATGTGATCATTTCCATAAGATTATAGTAAACCCAAATAACTTATTCATATATCTATACATACCTTTATGCAAGGCCGCCAGATTAAATAAATTAACACATTTTTTCATTTTCTCATGAGGACCATAAACATGATGACTGAATCTCTTTTGTACTACTAAGAGGGTACCTACATTGTGTACCCCACATGCACCAAATTGCATGTATCTGAGAGAATTTTTTTTTCAAATGTGTGCTTTTATCATTGCCATCAATAATACCTTAGTGATCTAATAACATCATAGTCAATCATTTGCAATTAATTTTTTTTTTAATTATTTAATTAATTTTGTTTGCAGGGGGTACAATGTGTACTCCCCTGTATAGTTAGTTGTATTTTGCTTCGCCAAATATACATACATCGTTGTATTGTGTGGCTTTGTGCTTCTAAGAAATGGCCAAACGTGAGTTGACCATTTCTAAGTCTAGTCAATTATTGCAACAGCTGCGATGAAAATGAGAATTCAAAAAAATTTCCAATACCTACCCCCGGTCCCTATCCTCCCTAGGAACGCACGATGTTCTTTGAACATTATATGGATTCCCTTTCGTGCGCTCCAAGCGATAAAAAAATATATATATTCTGTTTCATAAAAGTTACATTATTTTGAATAACATTTCCCTGAATATTCGGTATTTTTTCAGAGTGTAGCAGGATTTTCCCTTTCATACTTAAAAAACATTTACCCCCTTTTGTACTCCGCGTTCGTTCAAAAGCTTGGTACCATAAGGGATATTACATTCCAAGTGATAGAATTGCAGTATTTAGAAATCATGTTTTTTTTCTAAAGCAAAACCAGACTAAAAAAAGTATCTTGCGCACATCAGGGGCAGAACAAGTATTTTTCTGAGGGGGGAAGCGATTCCGAAATGACACAGTCATAATTTTTTAAGAAAATATTTCAATATTAGATCCTAAATAGTAGTGAAACAGTTTCAAATATATTGCAAATATGCAAAATAACATAATATAGTTAAAAAATAACCAAAATATATTATTAGTAGTCCGAATACTAGACTGAATAATAAAACCAGCAAAATGAACTTTTAGTTGAAACAAATACATGGTGGTGAATAGTTCAGAATTCTGAAGACCCTGTATTTATTTCAAGAAAAAGTCAGTAGAATCAGTAGATATAGTATATCAAAAGTTAAGATAGGGATATGGAGACAGTGTTGACCAATGATGAATAGTTTTGACACAAAAAATCGTGAAGTTGAAAATATATCATTTTTTCACACCCTATACCTCTGTAATCATTTCAGCTACACCCCAAGTGTGATAGATCGATGAAATCAGCTCTTCAGGGAGAATTCGAAAATGCAATGAAATACAGGGTGTCCCATTTAAAAATTTATAAATGTTGCTCATGAGTAATTTTTGAGATGTTCTTCTGTTGGCATATATGAAATATAGAACATTCCTTGAAAAAAAAATACATAAGAAAGTTGAGTGGGGGTTAAAAATATACGTGAAGGCCCTGTACTTCAGCCAACAATTACTGACTCTCACCTTAAACATTCTCAATTATTAATCCTCAAAATTGATGACATATTGAGGTCATATTTTCATTAAATTGTATTATATTATATTGTTTTATATTGTAGTCCGTCAAATGCAGTAAATTTATGGAAATTAATTCATTAATTATTGGAAGATATTTCAACATTTTGTTTGAGAATCTTTCGTTTTATTTTTGACAGGAAGAGGGGGCGAAACCTCCTTCGCCTCCTAAATCCACCTCTGATTGGAATCGGAGCAAAAAATCAATACTGGGAGTGTTCTCTGTATATTTGACAAAAGAAATTCCTTCCATATTAGTTGTTACTTATTAATTTTGTAACCTGATTGGTGTCTTTGTCCCTGTATCGATTTATCGAATCCATAGCTTTTGAATTGAAAAGTATTAGATATTATCACTTTTGGAGTGTTGTTCGACAGTTTTCAAGGTTAACGACGAAGGGATGTGCTGACTGGGCCTGTCAAGTTCGTCTGACTGGTACTGTTAGTGATGGAATGATAGCAGAGATATCTGAGGAACATTTCCCGTGGAAGTATCTATAGAAAAGTGGAAGGTCGCCGACTTTTCTACGGTGTTCTAATGGGCGATAGGCTCTTCTCTGGATGGAATCTGAGAGCATCAGCGTATATTTTGGCGCTGAACCCCATACATGAGAACATTATTCTATAACTGGCCGTACTTACCTGTGCTTCGTAGATCATGAAAAGCTGTTGTGGTGTAAAGTAGATTTTCAAGCGAAACAAGAAAACGAGTTTATATAGATCGTTGATATGAATTAGGAACAATGTTGGTGCCAAGATTGATAAAGCTACTAGAATGAAATACCTACTTTTGTCGGTGTTGATTCTTTTTAATATTTCAGAAATTTCGTAGTAATTCACAAAATATCAGAAACTAAAAGTTGTAATAGAACGCTTAAATTCGAGATACATATGTAAAATTGGAATAGAAACAACTTTTCTCAGTGAACTTTTTTGAAATTCAAACATATGAGCCTATTTTCAATTTGAAAAAATCAAACTTTTGACATGTAGTGGAAGTCACGTGACCCTGACCGAATAGTCCATTATTCATATTTTCTAAAGCATGAGAAGGTGTTGATGTGTAAAGTAGATTTTCGCACGCTACAAGAAATCGAGTTTATAGATCGTTGATATGAAGTAGGAACAATGTTGGTGCCAAGATTGATAAAGCCATTAGGATGAATTAGATCTGTGGGTGTTATTTTCTTTTTTTTATTTACAGAAAATTCGTAGGAATTGAAAAAATATCAAAAACTAAAAGTTGTAATAGAACGTTCAAATTCTAGACACATAATTATGTGAAATTGGATTGAACAACTTTTCTCAGTGAACTTTTTTGAAATTCAAACATATCAGTGTATTTTCAATTTGAAAAAAAAATTGATTTCTGAGATGTAGTGAAAGTCACATGGCCCCCACCGACTAGTCCATTTTTCATATTTTCTAAATCAAAAACGTAACGATCGAGTCGAATTTTGAAATGAATCATTATTAAAAGTATTTACCATATGATGCCGACTTTTATGAATAGCAGTGTATATACATATGTATCGAAACTCACCTAGTTAAAATTATCAAAAAAACCACTCTCATAATTTTATTTCGGTGCTACTGATGTAGGTACTGATTGAATAGCTTGCCCAGCCTTCGTTTTATGTCAGAAGATTCGCAGTGGCGGATGGATATAAAACTATAACTTTACTACAGAGACAGCTGTGAGATAGGCATGGGACATAAGGGGGCCCCCACTCACTGAAATCAGCAGAGAATAACAAAATTAAATATATTCAAAAATAATTGTTATTATTATCATCATTTATTATAACATATTCATTTGACATTGAACCGAAATATTTCCATTTCATTTTTGTCAAGAACAGATGAATGTTAATTATTTTTTCGCCTACCATATATGATAATTAATCATATCAACCCTAAAATGTGACCAAGTAATGTATCGTCCCTTGGGCTTTTAAACTGATAACAACACGATTTTGTACTTTTTCACTATCTTGACACCTTTGTTTTGATTGTTCACATTCATAATAAACGTTCATAGTATGAATGAAAGTTCGGAATCAAGAAAACAATAATTATGTTTTTCCACCACTAGCTATATTAAACCTACCATTATTTATTCCTTTTCGAGGTGTAAAGTGTGTTTTTCTACATTCATGCAAAAAGCAGAAGTTTATTGAACTATATTTAGTGGAAAAAGAAGTTCTTTATTGCACTTAGTGCAATAAAGTTTTTATTGCACTCATCTGTCATTCTACTTCAACGTGCTGTCATCATGACAAACATGTTTTATATTGCAACTGTGGTTATAGAAACGTCATATATTCATATTGAAAATTGCACCAATTGTTCATTCACTTTCAACATTGAGGGTAAAAATAAAGTTTGAGTTAAATTGTTCGTAACGTATTAGTTCCTGTTTCAATGCAAATCGATATTAATAATAAAGTATTCAAGTTGCGTTTTTCATTTTCCTACACCTAGTGCCGCTCCTCAATATATCATTTTTTGCTTTTTGCATGAACGTAGAAAAAATGTTGTATGCAACTCGTGCAAAAATTGTTTGTTGCACTTGTTGCATAAATAACTATTTTGCTACCAAGGTAGTTTTCGTAATTTTATGAACCACTAGTCAATAAAGACATAGTCCTCTGTTATAATTAACTCGAATTCACTGGTCCTATGCGACATTCTCAGGAATGACACTCGAATTTAGTAGATATTTATCAATAACGACTTGTCATAATATGCTGTCAAAAAAATTCAAAACACTCCTTGGTAGTAAAGAATATATTATTTACCACGGGACCTGCTTATACCCTTCGGCTGAAGCCTCTGGTAGGCGAAAAACAGTTGTGTGTCACACATGCAGAAAACGCTTTAGCAGCTCTCTTCGCTTCGCTCGTGCAGCTAATAGCCGCGGACTGCTGAAGCTCATTTTTTGCCCTTATGACACAATATACTATTTATTTTGTGCGTTTCGAAAGAAGGATGTTTTTGTTCAAATTAATTTTTTGATATTTGTTCAATCTCTTGCAGCGCATGAAAGGAAATCCCTATATTATGATCGAGGAATATCGTGCGTACCTAAGGAGGATCAGGAGAGGAGGTAGGTATCGATATTCTTTTTGAACTTTGATAAGTATCTATAGAAAAGGGAAAAGTCGCCGACTTCCCTACCAAGCTCCAGTGATGTTAAGAAATTAGTGAGTTTGGCATCACCAACCAGGTGAAAAGCTATTTCCTGTATACAATCAGAGATTGTCAGCGTATGTTTATAGGTGGTGAACCCCATATATCTATATCTGTGCTTTATATATCATGAGAATAAGCTGTTGAGGTGGACTTCGTGGGAATGGTGGTACCAGACCTTGTTGTAACAGGCATAGGTTCCGCTTTTCTAAAGAAAAGACAGGCTTGAGTTTTAGTGGCGTTAAATTTAAGGTTGTAGGTTCCCCAGGCAGTTACTTTGGCAAGATCTTCTTTGGAAGCATATACCCAGGGTTCTTTGTTTTGAGGGAAGAGATGAGGATTCTGAAAGGGAACTCACTGTCGATAATGAAGCTGGTTACTCCCAACCCAACAGATCATTGAATGGAGTACTCGTAGGAACAATATTGTGTCCAAAATGGATGCTTTGTGGGACGCCGGAATTAATGGCTACAGTATAAGACGAAAGATGAAAGATACTCTGCAAAACATAATATGGAGCGATCTGTCTGGAAGAAGACTATAGATTAAAAAATCTGCAGAAAAAACGATCCTAGAAATAACCTCTCATTCACACGCACTCTGTATATTTTCTCAAAGGAGGGGCCAATTTCAAGTGGCTACGTTAATTTTTAAGGACATTCGTCTATATAATACTTATGCATGTATCAAGGGCGTAAAATAGGCTTTTATGTTTTATGGACCGTAGCATGTAAGTAAGAGGCCATCCAGGTCCATAAAAGCAAGTTACGCCCGAAATACATACATACAACATTTTAAGCACGACCGGTATATACGATTTTTCATTGTGAATACCTCTGCACCTCTCGAGAACGATAGAAATACATCATGGCTGCCTTCGATCATCATCGATGGAATCGACGTTACCATGGTAACTCACTAAAATTTTTGAATTAGGATTAGACTATTATATATTTGCTGTCAATTAATGTCATCACATATGACTTATTTTCGGTTCGATCATATCAATTTGCATCTCAGAAATATCAAGAGAACTAATATTAGATAAGGAATCATCACAACTGAAATAAAAAAAGTCCCGATTAGGCAAGAATACGTTCATCACGATGAGAAAATGCATAGTTTCTTTCATTTTCCATTCCTTCTATATTTCTCAAAATAAAGAGCCAAAGAAATGCTCCCGTTAGAACACGACGGAAAATCATCAGCGGTACTGACGTCACAAGTAACGCAGTGAGATGAACAGCGTTGCCGTTTCAACCGATTCTTTACTGCTTTGGATATTTTAACATGTATCGCTCTCAAGATTTAACTGATTTCAACAATATTATTGATGAACTGAGCAAAACAGGTTAAATCACACTTGTTCTTGTTTTCCTATAGGTACACTAGATTGTGGCATGTTATGACATGATTATTAAAGTGATGTTACCAGAATTTGAGGTTCATTAAATCGTATACCAGAATCGTTCTGTTACATTGTTTTATAAACTTATGTTCAAACGAATAATAGATAAGTAGACTGAATTTCGTCTCGGCTGATCGAACCTACAATGTGCTACAACCAATAACTCAATTACTAATCATGTCAGCTATAAACTTGAAGAATTGGAAATGACGGAAACAACCTATACTATATTGATGACATTTACTTCATCAATGAATATCAAATTATCTCACAAGTTCACGGTAGGATCGATTCTAAATTGAGAAATATTTACTTGATATTTCCTTAAAATAAAACAGCTGGCAACACAGGAAAAGGGATTATCACGTCAGTATATATAAATGTACTGGCGCCGTCGAACGCTATGTTCGAACGTCCCATAAAATTGTAGGGCATTCAAATGGTGTTTTTTTCAATATTACAGCATATTTTATAAAAAAAATTATGCATTCATGTTATGTTACTACTAGTCCCGCATTTGTGTCAGTAAAGTGCTACTTTACGCCCGGTCGTGTATAAAAATAATTCTATTGATTACCTGATGAATATCAATTGTGTATTTTCGTACTGATGAAAAACTCATATCTGACCCTCGGAATGGGTCCAAATGTGCACTACTTGTCAAAATTCTGACTCTCAATTTGCAGACACTTGATCTTGAAACAAGTACCCATGGCAATATACAGTGTGTCCCACTTACCATGCTCACCATGGGTATCTTTTTAACGGTGAGATATACGAGGTCGGTTAAATGACACCAAATGTGGAGTTTGTCAAGGCCAACTATAATGTGAAAAAATATTTCGATAAAATCTATTCGTTTTTGTTTTATACGCAAAAAACAGATTTTGATCATTTTCATGTCTCCTCCGTAACTTCTTTATTTATGAAAATATTCAAATAGGAATTTCACATTCTCATGGCAGTTTTTCAAAATGATTTCGAAAAAAATATGAAATTTATACCAACTCTTCTAATATTTGAGATATCAGCACCAACTTTAGTTTTTCAACAAAAATTCCATAATGAATTGTCACCGAAATTATGAACACCTGCCAAATTTCAAGTTAATCGAAGTTATGGAATTTTCGCTGAAATTAAAAAAAATGGCTGCTCCAAGATGGCGGACAAGATTTGGTCCGATTACATTCAAAATTGGTAGGTATGTAGGGGTTTTTGAGGTCGGAGATCATGATTTTTTTGTTAAAATTTATGAATTCAAGATGGCGGCATCCAAATCATTTTTTGTTTTTGTATAAATGACGATAACTCCGTTGTTATCAACACAAAACTATTACTGCGACATATCATCTGTAAGAGAAAAAAAAGTTATTTGTAACTAAGTCATAGTGAGCTATGACTTACATTTGAAAAACTAAAGTTGGTGCTGATATCTCAAATTCTAGAAGAGTTGGTATAAATTTCATATTTTTTTTCGAAATCATTTTGAGAAACTGCCATGAGAATGTGAAGTTCCTATTTGAATATTTTCATAAATAAAGAAGTTACGGAGGAGACATGAAAATGATCAAAATCTGTTTTTTGCGTATAAAACAAAAACGAATAGATTTTATCAAAATATTTTTTCACATTATAGTTGGCCTTGACAAACTCCACATTTGGTGTCATTTAACCGACCTCGTATCTCTCAGCGTTAAAAAGATACCCATGGTGAGCATGGTAAGTGGGACACACTGTATTGTATTGAAAGATTATAGGTAGTGGGCTCTTCAAAAAAATCTTGCAAGGGGGTCACGAGGTTATTTAATATCCGCCACTGGCGCGACTGCACATAATTATTCCTGTAACGATAACCGGATCGATAATTCTAAATCAAAAAACAGTTATCGAATAATTCCAAGATTCATTTTGAGTCTAATACAGTTCTTTCTAGACTAATGGCGGAAGATGTCGAATTAATATGCTAAAATGATATTATTTATAACGAATCAATTCCGAATCGTCTAAAAGCCTTCACATGAATGACTCATTACTTTTTCAAAAAATAGTATTTCAAAATAGTGATTCCTGATATTCCAATACAGGGAGTAACAGCAGGATTATGATACACCAAACCATTTTGATGTCTTTGATG